CCGCTGTAGGGGCTGGAGGCAGCCGAAAGAAGGTGGTCTTCAGCCTCTTCCTTGTTTCTGTAGTAAGCGGAATTGTGTTAAAATGGGAAGTGGTTCGTAGTCACCTTAATAACTGGAGAAGAGGTTCAGTGTTTGTAAAGTGCTTTGAGGTTGCTATAGTGAAGAATGCAGCACGTGTGGGAAGCGAGGGTTGTGTATGGGCTGTCAGTCCTCCTCTGTTCACAGACATACGAAACCTTCACTGTGTATGAATGCTGCTGAAACTGTGTCCGTTTGTTAGGCTCTAACTCAAGTTTCTTAGAAATGAATCGTTTTAAGCATATTAACTACCTTTTCTGTCTCATACCGTGTTTTGTAGTAAGGAATCTCAGGTCATATGGGACCAAGGAAAGACAAATAATTGTACAGTTCAGAACTGTTTCACTGGCTCTTGGGTTTATCTTTCTAGTAGATTCTTTTAAATGCTACAATTGTAATACCATTATATAGTTTCATGTAATTGCTGGGGTGAACTGGTATTATGTGATTTCCCATTTCTTGGCTGTGGATTTTCTATATGTCTGTTGGCTTGCTACCCTATAAGAGCATTTTAAGGTTTAGGTTATAGGCGACCTACTGCCCTCCATCGAGCTGCATACAGGAGCTAGTATGTTAGTGAATGGAAGCAGTAAAGAGACAGATAAGGCAAGTAGTGGATAAGAGAGTTGCAGCTTCTTTGAGGAAAATCCATTCAGCCCATAGTTTCTTTCAAGAAGAGAGTAAGGGACAGCCTAAATTACACTAACAGGCCATTTGTGGCCCAGGGTCACAAGCTGAGCGTGCTTGCTTTGGGAGGACTGGAATGTCACGAGCATGTAGTCAGATGTTAACAACTTTGAAAGCCTTTAGCTCTCACTGAGGGGCGTTTGATGTTTTTGTAGCAGCGTGTCGAACAGTGTAGCTCACTGGGAGAAATGGGTCATTCCAAAATTGTTGCCTTCCATACTGAGTTTCTCTTTGGTTTGAATTTAGGAAGAAATCATTGATTCTGAAATAAATACAGGGATTTAATTTAAATGGGTTATTGCTTATTTTCTACAGCCAGTCATTACACCCTCGAAGAGCAGGAGAGAAGATGCGTGTGACTCAAGGGCTGCTTCTTTCTCTGTGGAAACACAGGCACAGTGAATTTAACATCTGTACTTCTACAAGTTATTGATGTTGTTCTCCCGTAGTGGCATTTGCTATAGGATCATCATTTTAAAACTCTGAATAACTTGTTCTGGATTAAGAATAAAAATTATGTTGCTTCAAGGGGTTTATAATCAAAATGGTACAGTTGCTGGATACTTTGCTGTGGGTGTAAGGGAGCTTCTGAAAGCTTGGTTCACACCATAGGTACAACTGTCTTGATAAACCTAGAGCCCAGCCTTTTTATATGTGTAGAAACAAAAGAAACCTTAAAGGGAGCTGTATCTCTGTTTTAAGATTCCCTCTAAACATCTGAGATTAGGTTGAAACACATTTGAGATGTTGCATGTGAAAATTCTGATACTTAAATATAGCATGGATATGAGGATCTACATAGAACTTGTGTTTGAGGATAATACCCAGGTTTTGAAGTGAGTGATGGGGAGAAAGACAATTCTGTTGCCTGTACTGGTTTGGAGGTGGCAAGTGATGAACACCTGAGTCCTGTTTTAGTGACTTCAAGCTAATCTGAAGCTGGTTGATCTATTAATGAGACCTAGAAGGTTGATTGAAAAATCTGATAAAAATAACTGACCTATAGGTGGGTACAGTGATACCGCATGGCTTTTATCAACAACATTAGGATAATCTAAACCCAGATGCTTTTTTCTTGCAGTCTTCTGTATGATGATTCAGCTTTTCTGCCTCTTTTGAAGTAATACTTGTTTTTCCTAGCAAAGCTGCAGCCAAAAGTACTTTAAGCAAAATTTTCATTCATTATGCTAGTTATATCTTTATTGTAGTGTTTGAAATTGTGTCAGAGCTAGACACTGTTGTACCAGATTTAGGTGCACTCTCCTCACGTTGCATTTCTTCTGCAGAATAGAGGACTTTCTATAACCAAAAAAACACCCTCTTTAGTCCTTTAGATGTATGTCTCTGATCACAGAAAATTTTAGCCAATAGTCATTAGGCAGTGACCTGCCAGAAGCATGGCTTTCTTGTTGATAGTTCAAAAACCAAACTGTTGAGGATCTTATCCAGACATTCATCACCAGTGAGGGGAGGAAAGAGAGTATGTGGAATTGACTGAGAGTCTTTGGGTGCCCATCTAACTGTTCCTGTTTCCATATAAAAATGCCTCTGAAGGCTAAACAATGTGTTTGTCAATTGAAGTATTTAAAGATTGTAATATGCTTCCTAATTTTAAAAATGATGGTTACTGAGATGGGAAAATTCCCCTAAAAAGACAAGCAACTCTATACTCATCTGAGTACCCTGTTGAGGGGAACCTTAGGTACTGTAAGAGTGCAGAGATGTTATTTATTGTTGGCATTCCTGGTTTGAATTTTGTATTTTAATTCAGTGTTACAGTGGAAGATGGGGATCATAGTTATACAATGTGTTGAAGCCTTAACAGGATGATGCACATGCTGAAAAACTTTACTCAGAAAATTAAGTTGGAAAAGAATTCTTCCTTGAAATGACTTTTTCTCAACTCTTATGCTGTTGACTTTTGTAGACAGGTTCTTAGTAAACTCCGTTTCCTGGTGAGACGTAAGTTAAAAAAATTAGTTATTTTCAAGATTAAGTACGCAAAGTGTTCAACTTGTACTGCTGTGAAAACAGTAAGGTGCTACAACTGCCAGGAACACGATTGTACCAGAGTAACTGTTATGAATGCTAGAAAGTAAGTGCCTTGGAGGTGGAGCATGCACTGATGTTAATCTTGCCATAAAAGCTTGTATTATAATATTCTAAACAATTAGTCCTTGTTAAAAGGGAGTATTGATTTAGTGTAACTAAATGTTGACTCTAGCTTGTAGGCTTAAAATTTTTCTGTCCTGGAGCAAGAGAAAGCAGGGCAGGATTTCCTGATTTTCCTCTCCTTTGTGGAGAGGCTTCCTTCCTGTGGGATGAAGAGAAGCTTGTGGGTCTCTTTTATTATGGGTTTACTGTTATCTGGGGTAAACCAAGGGATAAGTGTATAGCCAGCTGCCTGCTCTGTGTGAAGTTCACACCCAGGTTGTTCAGGGTAATGTGTTAATATTGGCGTACCCTCATACAGACTTGCAATTCTTGCTGGTAATGTCTTTATTAAGCAGCAATGTGAATTAACTTCTGAACAGTTGATACTACTTGAATTTAACATCAGAGGCTTCCTGTCTTACCAATACTCAGCAATCTTTATTATAAACACTTAACTCTTTAGACAACAGTGTTTAAGCAATACTTGATGCTAAACTGAATCCTGGCACAGCTGACTTCTGAGCTTAAGGTGGTGGAAACTTAGGACAAAGAAGGAAAGGGCTAGTGCCACTAGAGAGTCTTAACAAATCAGAAGAGTAAGAGCCTGCTGTATTGAGGAAGATGTGGCAGTTCACAGAAGCTCTGTGATGCCATCAAAGCCGTTAATTACTAGTCAAGGCTAATGAAATGTAAGAAATCTGTAAGAATTTAAGTAATATGTATTGTTAAATCATTTGTTAGCAAATAAACCAAACTAGATATATCGGTTAAATTTTATTAGAAAAACCCTAGGTAGAAGTGTAAAATACATTTAATATGTAAAGTACAATATGGATTATTATATGAAAACAGGCAGCAGTTTACAGCAAAAACTGAAAGAATTCTGTAGATTGACGACTTGATATCTACTGAGATCTGAACTGTTTTGTACAAGAATATGAATGTGTGTGTGTATATATAGCTATTTATTTAAACTTGATTTGTTTATTGAAACTGAATAGAATGATCTGTTAATGCAATAGACATTACTTGGACTTCCTAGAAGCTACTTCAAGTTGGAGTAAAGTAAGGGCATGTGTAACACAACAGGTTGCAGCCAACCAGACTTTCCTGAAATGTTACTGCATCTCTTTGTGGAGAACAGATAATGTGAAGTTAAAAATCAGTTGTAGGCTCAATGTGATGAACATTCATGATGCCTCTGTAGTGTTGTTATATCCAAAATTGGGCTGTCACTGTCAAGTCTTCAGGGTTGATGGTATAAGCCAAAAAGTTTTCTTCAGCGGTCACCTGATGTATTTACTACAGAGCATGCTAAAAATTTTCCGTACAATAGGTAAAACGGTGATGTTCAGGAACGGAGCTTGTTTTGCTTGAGCAAATAAATGGCAGGCAGTTGATTCTTTCATTAACTTGTGGGATTTTTTTGAGGTAGTGAAGTAGATTTCCTGGGCTTGCAAGCTTTCAAAAAATACTTCTCAAAAGACTGATCTGTAGTGTTTGAAAAATCTTTCAGTGTTTACTGCCTGGAAGTAACCATATATGTGCATTTTTGTAGTAGAGCAGTCTCTTAAAAGATAAAAATGAAACTGTTGTCAACTGAAGTAGTAGGTGGAATAGAGATAGCTTCTAGTAAAGTGTTCTGTTGCATAAGAAACATAATTTGACTAAGTGTACACTGAGAAGTCTAGTTATAATGTCTTGGCTTTCCTGAATCCTTAATACACCCTAACTGACTTAAGCTTTCATAGAAAGCGCACTAGAGAAACACCAATTTCCTTGGGGCTTTGCTTATTACAGTGTGGTGAAATGAAGAGTAGTGAAATAGTTGAGGTTAGGAACCATATGGAAGGAGAGTTAACATTTGTTTTATCAGAACTTTTTTTTTTTTAAAAAAAGCACACTGTGCTTTTGAGTACCTAAACCCTTGAAGTTTTATGCCTAAAATCTTGTCTGCATTGGCTGCTTACTGTGAATTTAAACTGTGGATCCCAATTTGTGTTGCTATTTCAGCAAACAGAACAGCAACTGAATCAGGTGTGTGCCGCTTCAGGGCTTTAGCTGAAAGTGTGGGTTGCAGAACCTGAATGTGTCTAAGGTTATAAAACAGATGTTATTTGACTTCATGCTTGAGAGTGATTACGTTTGATTTGCTGCAGGGAAAATCCTCCAAGAGGGAAGAAGAATGACAAACACAGCAGACACTCCCTGCCTGCAGCATTACATTCTTTTCCAGATAAATCATGCCTTCACAAAGCGGTTCTTGAAGGGATACCTTGGGCTGCATTTCCTTTCCTAATTTCCAGAACCCTGATGCTAATTTACTACTGGCTTCAAAACCACTCTTGGAGTGGCTTGCTGTGTTGGTTGAGAAGTGTGACTATATAACCCCAACAGGGAGATTGCTCCAGAGGAGAGGGAGAGTGACCTTCTGGTATCTTCTGTGGAAAGGATTCTGAATTTCCAGCTGGTGGTCTGAGTTGGTAACCAAAAGTCCACCTGAGGTAGGCTTTGAGGAGTTTGTTTGGTGGGTAATGTCTTGTTGTTGTAACCCTTTAGCACCATAACACTGCCTCAGTCTTACTGCACCGATGTGCTGAGTTCTGCAAGAACTCTACAACCTGCAGGACTTTTTTGCAGTGTTACATTAGGCAAATACTGGTGCTTTAGCCATGTGGTAGCCCTTAAAACTGCCACTGTAAGCTCATTTTCAAGAATGTGCTGGTTCTTGGATCATGGAACAGGAGTGTCTGAGTATTTTGTGTATATGTTCTTTTAATGCTCAGCATCAGCTGGTGATTGAATTGAAGATGCTGGTGGTTATTGTGAGGAAATTGATGTGAGCATCTTGGCTGTGCTCCGAGTTGCATTGATGGTTGAACTGCACTTTCATTTTGCTTTTCTCTGAAGAAAATATGTTAAACTTGTCCTTTGAGTAAATTAGCTCATATGTCTTGGTTTTGTGTATAAAGTACCAGATCTTCAGATTATTTTGGAGAAGGGGGAAGTTTTGATATTTATGCACTTAGATGGTATGTCTATGTAATGAGGCAATTCTGTTCTTTAAATCATGTGATGGCAGTGTTTGGGGTTCATTCATGACTCTGTCTTGGTTCTGATATTTCATTGAACATAATCTCATAACCACCATGAGCGAAAAATCTCTGTTTAATTCTGGTGTTGTAATATCTATGTGCTTTAGACCTTGGAAAATAAAAGACTCTGTAACTGTTGGTGATACTTTTGCAGTATAAAACTCTTCTTGACTGGCAGTTGTAATTGTGATTGTGATGTACTTGTGATGTAAATTTGAAACTACTGGAAAATTATATTCACAGTTTAATTTCCACATGGGTTGAACTTCAGATGCTGAGCGTGGATACCTGTGGGAGACCCTGTGCTTGCTCTTCTGTTTCCTAGGGATAGACAAGAACTTTTTCAGCCAGTCACAGTGCCTCTCACTAAAACACGAGGGTGCTGGTAGGTACAGTTTTGTTGAAATAGTGTAGGTCCAGAGGCCTCCACCTGCCCAGCTGAGTGATTGGATGCCACAGGAGCACTAGTTCCCAGGGCAGCCGTCCTGCCCTCCCCAGGCTGGGCACTCTGCTATCTCATGAGCGTCTGCCCAGTTTGTGGGCACCTAAGTCGTCATTTGGGGACTTAATATAGTGCCTTGTGCTGTGACCTGAACAATGTCCTGCCCAATATCTCCTTGATTATTCCATAGCCAGTTTTCCAGAAAAATGCAGAAAATACTTGTTGAACAAATATTTTGCTGGGGAAATCTTTATTGCATCAAGTCAAAGTAGTATTTTAGTGTTGGGCATTGTGCTAAAAGTGAAATATTTTAAGTTCACTTAACCTAGTCATGCTGTTTATCTCCTATTGTCACTGCTTCCATGGTAACTTGTTTACTTTCATTTTTTTCCCTTCAGGCAATATAATTTTGTATATATATAAAAATATATATTAGAAAAAGTTAAGCAAGCTTTGCTTTATAGTACTTCAGTATTGGCTTTTAAGTTAGAAAGCAAGAAAGAACTGGGCATTGCCTACTATTTCTATCTAAAATATTCCATATCTCTGTCAAAGTTGAAAGTAGTGAGTTTGATGCTTTGTTGAAGCCAATCTGCTGAGTAGGAAAGGTGTTCTCTTTAAATGAGACAATTAAAGTACAATACAGAGCTGAGTGGCATCAAGCTTAAAGCAAGAGTAATACCAAATGGTGATGAACTTGTCTTGCCTATATATATTCTTGAAGCAGGGGCTGGGAAGAAAAATAGAAGGTAATGTAAATGATGTCTTGCTACACATAGAACATGTGTAGCATGAACATGTCAGCTGAGTAAGCCAAAATGAGCATCTTTCCTTTTCCAGGGTGAAGCATGAAACCTTCTAATTTGTTTTGAGTTATTCAGATGATATTCAGGGGTTTTTGTTGTTGTTTTGCCATCAAATTCTTGATTTTTTATTTTATTTTTTTTTTTTTTTAAAGAATGAGGATGGAAACTATTACTTCCAGGAAAATTTTGTTTCAGGTGGTATGAAATACTGAAGTGTTAGACTTTCACAAATTATATATCCTCTAGGTAGGTATAATGGTGGTACATACTAGCTGCAGGTCATGTGTAGTTCGAGTCCCTTGTCTCAGAGCCAGGTTTGGATACATTGACTGCTTGTACATGGAGCTTTTTAACGTGTGCTTAGGTCTGCAGATGCTCAGCAATTCTTTCTGCCCTTTATACTCTTTTGGAATGAGTTTAACACTGAGATTTTGGGAATGACAAAGTTGCGAAATGTAGAAGGCTACATAGATTGCTCAGTCACAGATTGGATCATTCTTGAACACCAAGGTAAACATGATGCATAGTGTTAATCTGGCAGGTAGGTCTAATTGCTACATCAGGGCATTACAGAGGACAGTTGGGAGTGCTGCACGAGCTGGGGTGTGAAAAGCTGTTTCAAAGGAATGGTGACGGTATAAATCTGAAAAAGGGCAGTATGAAAATGAAGAAGAGGGAGGAATGTTGTTATGACACTTGTGACTAGAAAAAGACTTTTTTCCTTGTTTGCCTTCTGCTTCTTATTATGCTGTCTAATTACAGTTTTAGTTTCCAGATGTAAGCTGGAGAGATGAGGAATTGCAGAGCAGGTATTTAAGTGTATTTCCCATACTTGAGGGAGCTGGGTTAGTGAGACAGACCTGGGGAAGAACAGCATACCGCTCTGACTTCTATATTGCAGAACTGCTTGTACCTCTGCTGAATAATATGTCAACTAATAAATAACATCTTCCTAAAAAAAAACCCCAAAACTGCTCTATAAAGTTTGCTTAAAGTGCTAAATGTCTGATTCAAACAATTGTAATGAAATACATTCCATTTGATTGATTAAAACCTTGTGTACAGGCAGTTTGAAGAAAATGAATTTTGATTAAGCCAAGTCTTTAATTATATAGAACACTGGCTATATCAGCAGCCTATGTTAATGTTATCTTTATAGTGAAGGCTTTTGCTAATCAATCATCAACCAGTTATATGTAATACTAGAGTTAAAACTGACTTGAGGCAGTTCTTTCTCTGAATCATGAGGTCTTTTTGAAATGGTAACCCTTGATCATCTTACATCATACAGTTAAAGAAAAGAGCTACATTCACTGTAGTGGAGTGAGATAAATCATCTGTTTTCAGACTTAAGTGCCTTTTTAATAACTAAAATTCATTTGTTAGGTCAGTACTTAATTTCTAATGTAAATAAATGGCAAACTTTTTAGGCAAAGTTAGATTAATATGTAATTACTCTTTGTGTATCTAAGTCTTAAATATGTTTACACTGATTTACTTCTGACTTTATGATAATCGAGATCCTTTGTTTTGGTATGGTTGTGTTTAAGGTGTTTCAATTTTGTGGTTGTATTTTGGCAGTTGTGTTTTTTAGTCCGTTTCTTATGGTGACACATTCAGGTTGTCTTTAGTATGTTATTCTTGCAGTTTTTGGTTTGATTTTGTTTTTTTGACTTTTCAAAATATATTTTGAATTGAATTTCATTTAATGGAAAATATATTTTCAGTTTAGGCATGTCTGAATGCCTCATCAAGTGAATGTTACTAAGAGTGCAGTGGGATTACCATAATGATGTCAAACTAAAATTTAGAATTACTTTCTTGACAGGAAATAATAATGCTAGCTGTCTTTTTTTATTCTGAAAATATTCAGCTATTATGTATTTTTGTGCTAGTATTTATGTATAGTCTTAAAAACAAACATCTTTCAAACATTACTCTTGCAAGTTTGAGAATGATGCCATGTAGTGTGTATTGATTTAAGCTGGTGGTTGTTTTTATAAAACATTTTGCCTTTGCAAGTCTTAAGGTGCAATCTGAAGGAGTAATGGTTGTTGCTGCAGAATTACTCTTCGCTCTATTAAGCTATGCACTTTTGATATGTACTTGATTTCTTGAATTGCTAGCTGATAAGACTTTTTTCCAAAGTTTTGTATCTGTAAATCATTTTGGGTTTACAATATGATAACATTTGTACTTCTATATTTTTCTTCCTTTAAGGCAAGAACTTCTGAAGTGGAATGGATGGGGATATAATGACTCCAAATTCATCTTCAATAAGAAGGGTCAAGCAGAATTCACAGGAAAAAGGTAAGTTGAAGATTAATATAACTGAAGTACCTTGTTTAATATTTTTTTGAAAAGAGTTTAAGAACTGCACTATTTAGTTAATCTAAAGAAGGCAAAAAACCTTGCTTTGTCTCATAGAATAGATTATTAGTTGTTCTGCATTTAACAAGTTTCCCAAATTCTATACACAGTAATCAAACCTGTAGTAAAATAGACTGTGTGGCTTATTGGAAGGTTTATTAAAAGTATTATAAAGACAAATTAATGTGAGTCTTCTCTGTAACTTGATATACTCTATGCATTAAATGTCCCTTGGAGAATGGAATCAAACTGAAAATCTGCACCATATTCTAGAGCTTTAGATAACATGCAACAGGTTAGTGTAGTTTTGAGAATCTCTTGAGCATCAACAAGTTGCTCTATTAAACTTCCAATTTGTGTTTTAGGTTTCTTAACCGTTGTACATGGAGCTACTTTATCCTCTGAGCTTAAATATGAAAACTGCTCTTCAGTTTTTCAAACTCTTCTGATTTATTGCCTACTAACCCTTTCTACAGCCAGCTTGTTTTTCTGAGAAATATAATTTTTTTTAGGAAATAACATTAAAATTAAATGGGGATCTCTTAACTTTCTTCCAGTGGGATTTAAGCCTGTCATTTGACATCTTGGGATTTTTTTCTGCCTCAGTAGAAAGTGGTCTTACATTCTCTTCCCTGGTTTAAAAAATTTGCTTTTTGTAAGAATAAAGAAAAAGAATAAGGAAGAGAAATAAGTTTGAAATAAGTAATGTTCTTCAGAAAAATTTACTCCTGACCTTTGAGTTTGTGTAAACTAGTATGAGCTAGTTTGAGTCAAAGCTGTAAAAAGCTAACTGGGATATTGAGTGCTTCAATCCTTGATTTCTTCATTTTCAGTCCCAGATTAAAATGCAAAGTCTTATTTTAGGCACTTGAGTTGACTGTATAAAATTAGGGAGTTCTTGGTGACCTCTTGCCTTTTTTCCAGGATTCTGACTCATGTGACTTTGTGACTCATTCTTTCACCTGATACTTTTAGTTTATCTGGGGTAGGTTATGCTGCACAGAATCTATGCAGTGTGCTTTGAAGGAAAAAAGGTAAAGGGCCGGAGTTGGATTTTTTTTTTTTTCAGGAGGAAGCATCGAGACTGTTCTAGAATGGGGGGAGAATGGCAGTTTTCCCCCATCTTCATTCTTCCTGTCTAATAGGTAATCTTAGAAATGCCCTGTTAGGTCACATCAGTGCAGTTCCTATGGAATAGTTTGTCACAGTGGTAAAAGGAGTGTCTGCAGTGAGAATAGAATAAGCACCTGTAAATGTGTAGATGCCTAGTCCTTTTAGGTATCCGCTACAGATCTGTTGTCCATAAATTTGTCTAATAGATTTCAAGTCTGCTGATACTGTCCGCCTCTATAGCATCCCGTGGCAGCAAGTTCCAGGTCACTGTTCTGTGAAGTACTCGTGTTTTAAACCAGGTATCCCTTACTGTGTTACAGGATGAGGTGATAGTTCTTCAGCCTATCTGCTGCTTTATTGATTTATATAAGACTCAGTTGTGTCTTCTCTTCCACTCTGTCTCCATACTGATGAGTCTTGGGCCCTTTAGTGTCTGCTTGTAAGGCCACTTGGTCTTTACAGTTGTTCTCTGAACCATCTCTAGCTCCACTACATCTTGGAGATACAGGGGCAAAAACTGCATGCAGCACTCAAGGTGTGGATACACCAGGGTTCTACAGAGCAGCAGAGAGATGAACGGTTTTCTTTCTTATACCTGCCCAGCTGATGCATAGCAGTGTTGGCTGCTGCATGCTGTCAGTGAAAATGTCATGATTTTCTATACTGAGTACCAGTCTGATTCTGCAAATTTTTTTTTTTTTTTTTTTTTTTTTTTTTTTTTTTTTTCAATTATCTACATCCTATCTTCTATCTTCATTTGTCTGCTCAGGTTTTTTAAGGTCCTGAGTTTCTATTGGTGGTGTATCTGTCTCCCCAAAAGAGCTTAATATTAGTCATGTAGTTGGAGAATCTACTGGTGAATCCAGATCACTGATGAAGACATTATGTAAAACTGGTCCCAGTACCAGTGTGTGACAAGCTGCAGTCCTGAGTCTGTCATAGGACAGTGATCAATAAACTCTGCCCTTTGCTTTTTACTTTATACTTCAACCTGTAGAAGAATCTTTCCTTCAGTACTGTAGCAGTGTAGTTTCTTAAATAGCTTTTTGGGTGAACACCTGTGGAAGTATAAAGGAGTATGGTATTTAATATTCACTGTATCCCCTTTATTCACTTTCTCTTTTTACACCCTGATAGAACTCCAAAGGTTAGCGAAAGAAGATTTCCCTTTATGGAAGCAATGTTGACTTTCCCAACAAACCATGCTTTTTCCATGTGTGAAATAATCTTCTTATTAGACTCTACCATCTCTCCAGGGATAGATGATACTTGCTAGTTGGAGCGACTAAACCTGTTTTTTTGGGGGGGTGTGGGTGGGGGGAGGAGGTCTTTAGGGGGCTTCTTGCACTGTCAGTGTACATACAAAGCTTGCTTCCTGAGCAGCCACGCTTTACATTCTGTGCAGTAAACTCACTAACTCCTCCTATGCTGTGACTTATGTCTGTCTTGACTTAAGTTGTTGGTTTTTTGATTAGCTTTAATTTGCCCTTTGAGTAAGTGATGAAGGCTACCCTTGCAAGCTAGCTATGTAATACATTGGCAATACTAAAAAGTATGATGGAGAGGAAGACACACCATGCTGACTTGAGTCCATCTGTACCTTTGTTGCAAGTTGCTGATGCAAATGTGTTAAACTTTCATTGATTACTGCACTTTCCTTTGCATAGTATTAATTTAACTGCTTCATATGGGTATGATGAAACAGTAATAGCTGTCACCTGAGGAACAACTGAATGCTGCCTTCCAAGGTGAACAGTCTAGTTTGAGTTGAGATATGGTTGTAGCCTTTTATCCCTAGGAACAGAGTAGGGTTTTTTACGATAGGAGAACTGGGAGGTAGTCGAGATGAAGAAACAAAAGTAATTGATCTGTGTAATAGGTGACTTAGTTGTAGAGTTGATTGCAACAACTGTGAAGGATAGGGTCATAACTGGATTAAGTGGCTGAATAATTTTAGAAGGAAGACCCTTTAGGCCTAATGCAGTGATTCAGGTGAAAACTATAGAAAAGATTTTCAGATGCTGAAAATATTAATACCAAAGAAAGGTCCTTTTTCTCTTCAGAGAGTGCTTGCGCATACGTAAACGTGCACAAGGCTATATTGTATACAGTTAATAGCAGTAGTTTCTACCTGTTTGTGTCCCCAGCCTTATTTGTTTTCATATGGTACGCATGGTCACAAACAGCTTCTCTGTCCCTTGTCTGTAAGTCTTTGTCACATGGCTAAACTCTTGCCAAAGAGTTTGTCATAGAAATAATTTTACATTGCTTGATGGATTCTGATGCATTCTGCTGATGAGGGAGGAACCTTTAACTGTTTTTCTTGAAAAAAATGTAAAGTGTATGGAGCTGGATTGGTGTGTCTTAAGAGTGCTGATTACACTGCAGTGTGTCCTTACACATGTCCTCTACCTGTAACTAGCATGCAAACTATGACACTTTCTGCACTACTAAGAGAGACCCTTCTTAAACCTAAAGATGTGGGGTGGGATATCTGAAAAACCTTATGCCATAATTCCCAAAGATTGTGAAGAAAAGTAATACCTAAGATGTTGACAGTTTGATTTTGTGCGAAGCACAGAACAGTTAAATGCAACAAAAAGTGCAATTCCATGAAAACCAAATGTGCAGAAGCTTTATAGGCTTGTAGGTAAAGCATTTGATTTTAAACTTCTGTTTGTGCATACGTAGAATCGAAAGAAGTGTATCTGACATACATTCTTTTAATTTAAAATGACCCTATGTAATATTGACTTTTCAGGTACAGATTAGGTGGTATGGTATTACCAACTTTTAAGGAATGGATAGAAAAAACCTTTGGAGCAAGTCTGGAGCACAAAACTACCTCTAGAGTAAGTAAATAGCTGAACCAGTTCCTTTGAACATTAGTCTTGGTGATAACCAAGACCACACTGTTAAAGATGATCCAGCTTCTGTCCTGAAGGTCATGTTGCACATAATTGATTTAAATATAGTGTATTAATACCTCAGTTTTAAAAAAAAGTATTTGATGTAGAGCTACTATATGAAACCTTTGACGTAGCATGCTTTGTGATTCCAGGTTAACTAGTAGTACTCTTATTGGCATAAAAAGTTCTGACTTAGGGAGGTTTTTGTCCTTTTTGTAGGTTGCTTTTCAACCTAGAGGGAGTTGTTTATGTAACTTCAATGTTGTTTATGGTAACAAGGACAGAAGATACAGTGAAGTTAAACTGCTGTTTTCTGTGTGTTTAATGATATCAAAGTTCTTACTTGACAGTAATTTTTTACATGTTTGTGTGCTGAAAACTGGCTACGAGCATACTCAAGATTGAACAGAATGTTTTTAGAAAAACAACACATTTGGAATGTTATAGGTTTTGCGAAGCATCCATATTTTGCTTTAAGAATAACTCCTGCTATTCAGAAGACCTGACCTCTCTCTAAGAATTCCTTTGAGGCTGCAGCTTCCTGACTAGATAGCTGCGAAGAAGTGTTGGAAACAGGCTGTGCTTGTACAGTGACTGTAGCAATCCTGCTTTGGGTAACAGTTTTACCCATTTCTTGAATTTTCTCTGAAGCAGGTAATCTCAATAGGGCCTGAAAACTCAGTTTCTTTAGTTTTCAGTTAATTAAGACATTCTTTCATCTGCTGTGATTTGCAAGATCTCCATCTGCCAATATATTTTGAGAAAGATGAATCTTTATGTGAGTTTTCCTTGACCAGAATTGGTCTTAACTGGCAGCTGCTTTAACTTGCTGTGACCAGAGGTCCTGAGAGCTGTTGTTTCTTTTCTAAATGTAGAGGAAATATAGAACAATGTGGAGTTGGAGAAGGGCAGATTCTTGAATAGTATCTTGATGCCACAGTATGTCTTGCAAAGCATCTTTTCAGGATATCTGCCAGCAATGTTGAATGCTTTCCTGTTATGTTGTCTCCCTCTGATTCTGACGTTCTTGTGATCTGAAACAGGCTGACTACCTTGACACAGAACAGGATTCCAAATTTGGAGTCTCCAGTATATCTCTGCCCTTCTCATAGCTATTCTCAACTACTACTGCAGGTCCCTCATTTTCATATGTCTATTGTAGTTCTGAGTTTGTATTTTGGGTTGTCATGCTAGATTGCTTTTTTCATCTTCTGTCATCGGCACATGAAGAAGTTTGGGTATAGGAATAGCAGTAGGAGAGGGATCTCTTGGTCCATTTGTCCATCTCAGCTCTTTCTGCCTCTGTTGTATAAAATTGGAGGGTTTGCTGTTGCATGAAACTTTTTGTTATAATACAAAAATAGTTAAGGTGCCTGCTTCTGTGATGCTTAAGGCCTGATGACATTTTTTCCCTTATGCAGACTAGATTTACTGCAGACAGTAGTTTAGACCTTGTTCACACAGGCTTCCTGTCTAGCCTAGTGCATAAATCTTTAAATGTTTCAGTCCCATAAGAATAAATAAAGGTATATTTTTGTTTGGCATGGTGCATAAAATTTTTATAGATGAATATTGACTATTCATTCTGGAAGATGAAAACTAAAGGATTAAAATACTTGTAGAAATAAAAATCAAGATACTTAAAACCATCTGCGAGGAATTGTTACAGCTTTAAGTAGTTTGTGTCCCTCTTACAGAGAACAAAGGTCTTCAAGCGCTTGGTGTTCAACTTGAAATGATATGAATTAGTTATGTCTATGGAAATCCATGGAGAAAGCAAAGTTTGAAATAGAAAATGTAAGCATAGCTAGCAAAGATATTTTTTAAAGTGGTTTAAAGATCTTTATTTGGTGCCTGCTTGTTTGTTTCCTCAAGTTTCCCAAGTTTCTGTCAGAGCTCTGCTCTTTGGGTTAGCAAACAGCACTGTGTAAATGGACATTAACAGCTGAATAGTAAGAGCTAAGAGCAGCAATCCAAGACCCGACTTCCTCTGTGCTTGTGACTGACCCCTAAAATCATGATCTCTTAGTGGCAGTGTGCCTCTTGCTTGAACAACACGTAATCTTAATTTCTGTATTTGTAGGTGACAAAATGAATGTGTTAGTGGGAAAAGTCTCTTTCTTGGGTGTCTAACACCTTATTTGACGAAGTAAAATATCATCATTAAAGCAAGTCAGAACAGCACATATCCTCTTCCAGAAGCCAAATCATTATTAAAACTATATTTTCATTATGTCATGTGTCTCATATTAAAACCTTAAAACAAACATTTAGCTATCTCCCCTTTTGAACCTCTAAATGTTGTTAGCTATCAGTAATGAACATCTCATGCATATACTGCTTTCTGAATTATCCCTGTAAGTATTCTTAATTTCTACAGAACCTCAATTTGTTTCTTATATGGTGGGCATTAGTAGGCAAGTTCTATCACTGTGGATCTTATAACTACCTGAAAACTTTCCTATTGACGTTTAAATCTTCCCTTCAGCTCTCACAGCTTTGAGACTCAACTCATTCAGAATAGACGACTTCCATGGTGGTGGATGGGAGACTATTAATCTCTATTTTCCTTGCTGTTAGCTTGGTAACTGGTGCTATCCTCTAAGCTTTTATCTAAGATATGCATATTGGCAAAAGGTATCAGCTATTCTAGAGGTTATGTAGAGCAAAGATAGGCAAAATTCCATTTCAGGAAAGAAAACTTGGGTGGGTGAGTATATTTTTTTCCTGGAAGGCTGAAACTTCAGGAGGTGAAAGAAAAGTGAATTCAGTTTTGCTGTTTTCTCTTTGTACTTGTGAAGCAGCATAGGTTCATCAAAGACATGTCTAAATTTCTTTGACTATGGGTAACATTTTATACAAATACTTTTTGGTTATTGGGCTGTAAGCAAGCTCTTTCTGGCAGCATTAGGCAGCCCATAGTCTGTCTTGATAGCTTTATAACAAAATTACAAGCATGTTCTTCTATTTGAGTTGCAGGGGGTGTTGGTTAATTTGCCATCAAGGTTTTCATGACAGAAGTTTGAAAGCACTGCAGTATGTTTTAACTAATTTGCGTGCAACTCCTAATTTTTAAGAATAGATTTAAAATAAAAGATGTAATAGTGAAAAACTTTCAGTTCTGCTCTCAAAATAGAGGGAATTTTAACTAGAAATAAGATTCTTGACCAACATTTCCTTTCTAAATAGGAGCTGAAGTTAGTTTTCAGTCATAAGGCAACCTTTATATCTAATTAAAGAACTCCTTAATTAGAGGCCATTTGTAATAGAAGGCATATTCCTTTAGGGAGATTGCCCATAGAAAAGTATACCTGAATTTATTGGCTCCATTTTTAAGCGGGGCGGGGCGGGGCAGGGAAAGTATGCTACTGAAATAGTTTCCTGCGTGTATCTAGTCAGATGAGTACCAGGTAGTATAAGTGGGATCAGTGACTGAAGATAGGGATGAGAACTTCTTTATTTGATCTTGAATAGCTGTGTTTGGGTATCAGTTTAGTGTTGACCTGTTCTTATTTCTGTTGTACAGAAATGTGTTAAGTGAGCCTACCTCTAATGAACTTATTTTCTTGTATCGTAGGCATCCTTAAATGTTAACGATGTACCTCCATCCATTGTAAATGAAGAATTTCTTCAGGATCTTAGAGCCACTAACATCTCATATTCACAGGATGCAGAAGATAGGGTATTCAGAGCTCATGGTAAGAGAACTTCATTTATGTAACTGCTGCTTTCATTGTTTCCTTGTTTGAACTTGTTAACTTGTTTGTGTTTCAGGTCACTGCCTACATGAGATATTTGTACTCAGGGAAGGAATGTTTAAGAGAATTCCTGATATAGTTGTATGGCCTGGTAAGGTTGAATTTTCTTATTCTTCCTTCTGATCTGGGAGGCCATTGTTTACTAAACTGCTTTCTTGTCATGGGGAAGTTGTTTCTTGGTTCACTGACTACACTTGTCTTCACAGAAACTGAAGGAATTTTCTCATGAATGGTAATCATGATTGTTTAACATCTGGACTGCAGGTTGTGCCTGTGAGATCCCATCATTTCTTGGGGAAGTCAAATTTATTATTAAATATAGCCAAAGTTTCTGTTGACAGCAGAGTTCATGTCTTAAGTAACCACAGTGTGATTTGAATTTGTATGTTCACCAAAAATAGTTGTCTCAATGGCAGTCTAAATCTTTTTTTTAAAGGAGTCCATGATGGTAGAGGAGCACTGAAATCTTTACTACAAAGAGCTTTGTTTTATGAAAAGCTGTACTTTAATAAAAAAGTATAACACCTGTAACTCCTATCAGAACACTTTACAAAGGATCATTGACTTGAAGAGCAGTGTGATCTGATTACAGGCTAGGCCTACCTTAAATAGAGTAATAACTAATGCTGTTGTAGATATGTAGCAGAAAATAAGCTTGCTGCTATCTAGTAAAAGGATACAGATACTTAAACTGATATGACTTTATTTGCATAGTTGTGTGAAATTTTCTATTTGAATCATGTTTCTCTGGTCACTAGGAACTACTTTTCATGTGCCATTCTGTAGTAGCTAACCAGAGTCACTTGACCTAAGTACCTGTCAATTTCTGTTCAGCTGGCTGAATCAAACTCTTTCCTTACCTTTATACTCTTTCTGATACTTTGGTAGCTGCACTGCATTAGAAACCCCCAAATTTCTGATAAGAACTTAGCTCAGTTTTGCTCCCTTTATTTGGGGGGGGGGGAAATCACAATATGGAAAGCATAAAAAGAGGCACTATAAGATATATCACTTTGCTTGAGGACAGGTGCTGACATGACGGCACTTGTGACTGTGAACAGCACTTGCCACAGCTTTGTTTTGTTTAGCTCCAAAAGCAAGTGAAATAAAATGATTGACTGCCTTGATTTAAAGCTGCTCTGTATAGCAAGTGCAGAGTAAACAGTTCATAAGCCAATTCAGTCCTGCTCATTCTCTGCTGTTGCATGAAATGTATAATGTAATAGAGTATATACTGTATTTAATCTCTTTTTTTGTTCCTTTTCCATGTCTGCATAAGTGTTTCTGCTTCTAAGTTTGACCAGATACAGAATGCATTCTGAAAAACTAAATTTCACCAGCAACTCTAGTTTTGAAACTGAATGTCAGCTAGGAAGAAAAAGTTGTGTTTGGCTCTCAGAAGAGTCTCATTTCTTACTTAAAATAAATTGGACAGACTATTTTCAATAAAAATTTTAAACTTGATTTGTTCTCCAAGATAGCTAGATTAATTGATAACTGTTTGGTAGCCCATGTTGCCCTGAGAATTTGCAGGGGGTCTTAATCCATTAGTAGAACAGGAGACTAAGGGTGTAGTTAGTTCTTGAAATGTGGGATTGTTTCAGGTCTAAACTTTACTCTGGAACTCATACTTCTGAGCCCAGCTCTTACATAGTGCCAAGCTTTTTGAAATGTCTTCCTTGCTGGTGTCGGAAAAGGAGCTGCTGCTTGTTGAGACTGCAATATTTAGTGCTAAGCAGAAATAACAGTACTAAGCATACATCCTGTTTTTTAACTGTTGGAACTTTTTTTTAGTTTGCCATGAGGACGTAGTTAAAATTGTGGAATTAGCCTGCAAACACAATCTCTGCATTATACCATTTGGTGGTAAGTGTTATGAAATCTCAAGTCTGTTTGACATTATTAATGAGAATGTATTCTACTTGAATTTAATTATGTGATCTTAGTAATATATTGTACCAACAATTTAATTTTTTTTTTTTAGTATTTTAAGTGTGGTCTTAATTTTTTATGATCTTGAAGTATTAAAAGCTGCTATATTCAATTTATTGGAAGTCAATAAAAGTATGTCAACATCTTGGATATTGAATATGCAGGAGGAGTGATTATATAAAGCTGAAATCTGCTTCTGTGCCTTGGAAGTCTTCTAGGAAATAAGTCAAGAGATGTGTTAGAGGTATCATGTTTTTGGATGCATTACTTGTGCTCTGTTCCCACAGACATGTATAATTAGGTTTTTTGTTTCACTGTTGAAGCTCATACGTCTAGGAAGAATTGTGGTCAGACACTGTACTGCAAAATCGCTGACCATAGTTCTGATTTCCTTTTAGATATGGTTTGGTTTGAGGGTTAGAGTAGAGACTTCTGTGTCAAGGGGTTTTCAAGTACAAGTACAGGTAAAGCCTGTATAATCTGTGTCCTTTGCAGCCTAAAGAATTTCTAAAGGACTTCAGGTTTGTAGTCATGGATGCTTTTTCCTCTAAACCTACTGAAGTAGAATGGTGAGCTACCTTGGTTTGACTTAAAGGTCAGGGAACAATGGGATGTTGGCTTTCATGAGCTCATCCTGTGAAAAGCTTTTGTCAAGCACTCTTAATTAGGTAAAATAAATCTGTGTGTTTTACTTGGTACTTCCTTATCCTGTAGGAGTATAGCCCCTGTAGGAAGGAAATTTACTGTTTGAGAAGATGAGCATGTCACTTGAAGATAGTATCAAACTGATGAAGCTGGTTTTGCCCTAAAATGCTCTCACCTTTGCCAGATACATCTGGAGAGCTGTAAGACTGCTACAAGTCATCTCTGGTACTAGTAAATTCATATAGCTGAAAGCAGCAATATTGACTACCTCTAGTTCACTGGCCAGGATACATAAAGACCTTCAGATTGTTTTTTCAAATCTGTTTATGCTGAACTAGGGTCAACTTCTAGAGTTATTACTGTAGGGGTTGGTATTTAAGGAAGATGCCACCTTTCCTATCATTGGAAACAAAGGTGATGGGCTTTACTGCTTTTGGGTAGTGTTTTATTAGTTGTCACAGTCTCTGTACTTGCCATTGGTGGTGGCTCTCGTAGCTTGCTGTGGATCTCTTTAGTATCCTAGTATTTCTTTTCCTGTGGCTGTTGTACTCTTCAAGAAGCCAGAGGCTTCTTGGAGGCTGTTCTGTGATACCCTATAAAGATACATTAGAAATATCCAGAGAAGTCTGACATTTGGTTTTACTCATTTTTTTTATAGTTATACCCTTTCAGTTTCTTTCTTGCTTTCAGGTAAGTGGGCTGCATCAAGAGAAGTGTGGCCAGTAGGTTGAGGGAGGGGATTCTCCTTCTCTACTCCACTCTTGTGAGACCCCACCTGGAGCACTGTGTCCAGCTCTGAGGTGCCCAACATAAGGACATGGACCTGCTTGAGTGGGTCCAGGGGAGGGCCACAAAGGTGATCAGAGGCTGGAGCACCTTCCCTGTGAGGACAGGCTGGGAGAGTTGGGGTTGTTCAGCCCAGAGAAGAGAAGGGTCTGGGGAGACCTTATAATGGCCTTCCAGTACTTTAAGGGGGCTACAGGAAAGATGGGGAGGGACTCTGCATAAGGGGAGGGTAGGGATAGGACAAGGGTTAAATGGTTTTAAGCTGAAAGAGGGTAGATTTAGATTAGGTATAAGGAAGAAAATTTTTACTGTGAGGGTGGTGAGGCCCTGGCAGAGGTTGCCCAGAGAAGCTGTGGCTGCCCCCTCCCTGGCAGTGTTCAAGGCCAGGTTGGACGGGGCTTTGGGCTACCTGGGCTAGTGGAAGGTGTCCCTGCCCATGGCAGGGGGTTGGAACTAGGGTGATCTTTAAGGTCCCTTCCAACCCAAACCATTCTATGAATCTAAGTATTGCATTTCTGTGTTATAGGTAGGCTTCTTAAGCCAACTTTCTAGGCAGATGTGTAGTGTCTTCCATAGTTATCTCAAAAAACCCAAACACACACACACACACACACACACACACACACACACACAAACAACAAAAAAAAACCCCAAAAAAACCCCAAACAACAAAAGCAAAAAACTAAAACCAAACCAAACAAAAACCAACCCCCCAAACCATACCTCTTTCTTGAATAGCTTTGTTATTGCTTACCCTTCCTTGTAGCAGCTGAGATGGTCATAGAATTTCATGGTTTGTTACTGAGTGCTGTTAAAGCATTGTCAATTCTGTGCTGCCTTGATTTTGTGAAATCCAGCTTGGGAGAATGGACAGCCTAAAAAAAGCTAATCACTAGCCTCAAACAGTTAACTTCAGTGATCTTTTATTAAGTTCAGTATTGGAAAGGAGGAAGAGAGGGATGGTATGTGAAAGGCTACATGAGAATTTTATGATCACAATGTCAGTCCCATATTTGCAGGAGGGACAAGTGTATCTAGTGCCCTTGAATGTCCTGAAGAAGAAAAAAGAACAATTGTCTCACTGGATACATCACAAATGGTATGTCTCTCAATTTTTTTTGTTTTTTAAATTACCTTACAATTACTTTGAATGGTGATCTCTAGTGAATGATATTTCTTTGCAAGAATAAAGTAGGGATGGAAGTATTAATCTGTACCATGTATGATTAAGTTGGTACTCCTTCAGTTTAAGTGATACTTTGCTGATGTTAGCCCTGTAGTACTTCATATGACCTGTAGGTATTTAATTAAAAAAAAAAAAAGTCGCTGTTAAGCCTTCTTGTAGCAGTTTTAAGTGGAAATCAGAGGAAACTACTATTCTATGTTGGAACTTGTTTCTGAAGTTAAATGAGAGGCTAGGAAGAAGTTACCTGTTACCAATTCTTATAACCATTAATAAGGAAATGAAGGTGAAAAGAAGCATTGTCAGAGTTGAAACCTGTGTGTCTTAAAGCAGTTAAGATGATTATCTAAGCTTTACTGTTTTAATAGACACTTAATGGGTATCTTAATCTTCTATGTAGGGTCTATATTGCATAAAACTGATTTACATAAGCACTTAGATCTGTTCAGCAGTTTATATTGAAACTGAAGGTGTCTGAAAGGAGCTTAAATAGCTGGCTTCAAATAATTAATCCAGATGTTGTGAGGGGAGACAATTGCTTTAAAAGGTAGTTTCAGTTGGACTACATGATGTTCACGCTTCTGTCACTTGAAAAATCAAGGCAAGGGGACATTAGAGCTGTCTTCCTTCTGTACAATATTAGTACACAAAATTAAAAAGTACACTAGAAGTATACTTAAAAAGATTGAAGAGTGGAACCTGAAGCTTCTGTGGTGTCCTTACTATAAACAAAGCTAAAACCATATTTAGTTAAGGTTCTCCTTCATGATTAGTGCACTATGTAACTTGTGTTTACTACTTTTCTTGGTTGGTAGAATATATTGATGGGACAGTAAGTGTCTCATCAGATAAAATGATATAATATTTCCAATTATCTTGAATTTCTGAAAAACGTACATACTCTAATATTCTGCAGTATATCTTGCTTCTAGCTCACTGTGTCAAAATTCAAGAACTGAACTGGAATGATGGAACGCAGTCTATTTTAACCCATGGAGTATGTTTAAGAATACTTCTCTTGGTGTATACTTTATGTCCAGATTGAAGGAGCTTGAATCTATCATGTTAATGTTGAAAACCACTATATTGCTTAACTTCTGTGAGAATTTTGACAATTATTTCTGGCTTTTCTGCATTGTTTCTGTAAACATTCCTAATATAAATTGACTAATAAGTATGTTACTTTCTTATAGTGGTAACTTCATAAATTGTAACCTGTTGTGTAGGTGAGAGAGTGAGGGGCCTCAGCTTCCACTGCTGTAATAACTGGAGTTGTATTAATAGTAAACTGTATGACCAAGCATGTTGATCCTATAGCATTAGGAAAGGAAATAAACAAAAATATTTAACACTGTTTCTTAGTTTTGATTGACTTTTCAACAGAATCGGATTCTCTGGATAGATGAGAAAAACTTAACAGCTTGTGTGGAAGCTGGCATTGTTGGGCAAGATCTGGAAAAACAGGTATTGTCAAGCATCCAGTATTTCTCCATATTTTTCTTAGCTGTTTCTCATGTCTTGTGCAAATCATTGTGTGTTTTCATGCAAACTGGTGTGGTAAGTGTTATATCACAGAATTGTCTAGGGTGGAAAAGACCTTGAAGATCATCCAGTCCAACCATTAACTCAACTATCACTTTGAATGTTGTATTTGAATATTTTAAAATTTTCTAGCTCTAGCCACAAAATGTGATTACAGTAGTAAGTTGACAATTCATGATGTAATGCTATGCTTTCTGTTTCAAACCTTAGATAAACCCTTGTGGTTGCAAAGCATGACACTTGGTACAGGTTACCAGGAAAAGTTCAAATTGTCATTTTGTGATGCATGTTTTGGTCATTTGGGCCAGAGGTAGTTTCTTCAGAAAGGTTAGAGCATGTAACAGATTTGCTGTTGTTGCTGCTTCTTAAGGCAAGCTACAGAAGAGTAGTAGAAAGGATGGAGAGTTGCCCAAAACAAGTGTCCAGTGGAAGATGTAGATGACCTTCATTCCTAAGTGACCTCTAATGGCTTTTAATTGCAGTTTATCAGAAGAACCATAGCCCCTTCTCAGGGTCGTCTTTGGTGCTCCTCTATAATCAAGCAAGTTGTGGATGTTCGGTACTATTCTTCAGAATGTGCACTTACGCTTATTTAAAAACAAAAATAATTAAGACTTGTTTGATAGCTAAATGATGTCTAAACTTTTCTTAGTGCCTAAATATACTTTACAAATATGCAGAGATTTGAAGGGTTTCTTGAACAGTTCTTCCCACACACTTAGAAGAAAGCTCATCATACTTGACTAACAGATCTGTTTATGATGAGAAAGATACTTTCCTGCCTATTACTTTATTTTCCCTTCTATCATTTGATGTCATATTTTAACTTTCCCAGATCTGTTTCTTTCAAGCTTGTAATTAAAATGCGAAGAGAATATTCTCTGAATTTAAATTGCATTTTTCTATGGTAATAGTTTGATATTTCACTACTACCTATCCTTTAAATGCCACTATCTTTCTTTTCACTTAAGATAAGGGGCAATATTTCCTTTTTGCTTATAGCTCTTATGAGCTGAAATACTACTTGTTGCAGTTATTCTTTTTGAATATTTTTGAATATTTTGATCAAAAAGCCTTTTCAATCAGGTTTGACTATGAAGAGAGCACTGACTGTCAATTTGTTCAATATTGAATATAAACTAGTATTTTGCGAAGATTCTGATATACAGTGTGTTTCTAAGCACGTGAGGACTTCTGTGCAATTCCTTCAATCTACAAAGAATACAAAATTATATCATCTACAGTGTGTGTGTGTGTGTGTGTGTGTGTGTATATTTTTAAAATCTTATTACATATCCTGAAATTCCACTTGCTAGCAAATAGGATGTGAATAAAGGTAGGGCTCTAAATTGTGCTCGTTTTGTGTGGTATAATCTGAGCATAACTATGATTTAATTTTAATGACAATACAGACTTCCACTGAAGAACAGGTAGAATGCAGATATGCATTTGGACTGTGCAAAAAAGAAACTGTTTGAAAATGGTTTCATTTTTGGTTTGCAGCTTTTTAGCATTAAGTAAGCTTTGGATTGGAGGCTAATCCAGTTTATGTTGCTTTAAGAGACTTTACCAGCATTATCTAGAAATTATGTTGCAGTGAAGAGGTTTGGTGCCTCTTACTGTGTTCCTCATTTTTGGGTGCTGAAGGTACTTAGTAGGCTATCTCATTTGCAGATACCATGAACTTTATAGTAACTAAGATCAAGAGCTGAATTCTAAATAACAGTTTTGAAAACCTGATGTTTGACAGAATTCAAAATGAATGTATGCTTCATGCTTTTGTCTACCTTAGCTAGTGACTCTAGTGTGATTAAGACACTATTTTCTGTGGGAGGAGAACTCCAGATATTAGTGGGCTCTACAGAGAAGCCTCAAGTTACTTGTTTTTGTTGGAACAGAATGTGGAATAACAGACAATAGATGAGGACTAAAGGTGACAAAATGATAATGAAGATAGAATAATATTTGTTTTTTGTAATAAGCATTATCAATCCGGTCTTGATTCTATAGAAAAAACTAGTACATGCCTATATTTTCTGGATGAGGCTGTCATTTGCATCTGCAAAGTACATAGTGTAATCTCTCCCTTGTCCTGTAAGTGCCTTTAGCACATGCTGTTCATATAACAGGATTCGAGGAGTTTAGACAAAATACTTTGTATATAAATAGTCAATCCAAATTTTCAGAAGCATAATTTTTTTGCTGTGCTTGCGTTTATACAACTCATAGAAATTGGTAAGTTGTGACTGAAGCAAAATTCGTGTTGTCTTGGGGAACAAGGAAGGGTACAGGCTCCAACCCTTCCCTAATATATGACCAGTAAGTATATAAAGCCACAAGCTTCTTTGATATAAGAGGACCATGAGCTAAATGAATCACCATAGACATTACGTAGAAGTGACTTTTAATAATTTAAGTTAGAACATAGTTAATGATGCACATTATGTGGCATACTTCAGAGTCTAGTTAGACATAGGTATTTATCAGCTGGTCAGTGAAAATTGATCACCTCAAATGCACTAACAGAGTTATCACTTAATGTGAGACTGTTGGGCCTTTAATTCTTCCTGTTCGACAGCTTTGGTGTTGTGATTCTAAGGGCATCTAATCAACCTCAGGTGCTGTGCAGATGGCAAAGCCAAGCTAATACAGAAAAATGAGAAACAAGTGACTACTTAATGTACAGGAATGTGTGATCTGCATCACAAATAGCTGACACCATTGCATACAGGAAGCCCAACCAGATGGCTGTATATTAAAACACATCACTCCTTGAGAGAATTAAGTACAGGCAATTTGCTCATGTTTTCTGCAGACCTGCTGCATATCGCATTAGGGTAGAAGGAACAAGAGATTAAGAGCTTTATTTATTGGCAGCATTTGTGCAAAGTTGGCAGTTACTTAGTTATAATTTTTTTCCATATGTATTTGAATTTGTAGCTTCTTATGATCAATAGAGATTTTAGTTTTAATATATGGGGGAGGAGTATTATAAGTTGATATGTAGCACAGCATATGCACAGTAGAAGCAGAATCAATTTGCATTTCATTTACTTATCAAAGACAAAACTTGTGCCTGATTGAATGGGTGTGTGGTCAGGATACTTATTTTTTTTTAAAAAGAAAAAGAAAACCTAGAAGAGATTTGGAGTACTAAGCAATGCAGGTTTTGCAGAATGTTGTTTCTTTCTTTCTTTAGCTTGCTGAAAGTGGCTTTTGTACAGGCCATGAACCAGACTCCATGGAGTTCAGTTCACTAGGAGGATGGGTAGCAACACGAGCATCAGGCATGAAAAAAAACATCTATGGAAACATAGAAGATCTGGTAAATATTTCTAATACTTTTTCTAATTAACTTATTCTGTTTGGAGGTTTAACTTTTATAATGACTCACAATGAGAGGGGAAAAGGGATAGTAAATTGCAGTTCTAACAATTGAAACAGTTCTAGCATCAAATCTTGACTGAGTGTTTGTTTGCTTGTGTTTGGTATTAATACTAATAATCCTTGTCACTGATTTAAAAATCAATTTCATGTTGGTCATCACTAGCTAGCGTAAGGAATTGTCACCCTGTCATGACTGTTTTCTTCCAATGTTTTGTGCTCTCTATTAATCCAGTATAATAATCCTGTCAAATTTATAGGGTGATTCCAAAAGGCCCATGTTCTCTCCTACCTGTTGTGTGTTCCTGAAGTTGTCTACTTGGATTACCTAACTCTAACAGCAAGCTAGCTCTTCCCACCTTCCTACTTCCCTCTAGGCTAGTAGTTTTTAAAATCAGCAGGGTGGTCTCATTTACCATGTGGTGAAATCTAATGTCCATCACATGGTCTGTAGGAACCCTGAGGAAGGAATGGCTGGGTTCTACTCTTGAATCTCTTTTAAGCATTAGAAAGGTTTATCTTTATATTAATCCAGGTAATTTGTTTTTTGAAGCATACTTTCTGATTAAAAATCTACCTTTTCAGTTACAACAAATGCATTGAGTATACTGAAGTTAAATCATCACTGTTCAGACTTTGCCTGCCTTTTTGCTTCAAACTTCCAGCTTTCTCTTGTAGTTTGTACAGTAGTCCTTCCACACATGTGGATTTTTCCTTCTTTCCTGCAGCAAGGTAAGGTATCCCCATCACTTTAGGCATTTTGGTCAGCTCATAGTTCAGACAAGTTTGTTCTGTGCACAGTTGTGACACTTTACTATCAGTGACTGAGCTTGGCAGAAACCACACAGTTTTTATTCAGTAGGCCTGGCTGAACTAAAACTACTAGTATTTACAAAGTGTCATCGGTCCCCTACTGCCTGATGTGTTACGGAGTGGTATGGTTTTGCTTGTACTGGGGGATGTGAAGCAGAAACCTTTTCTGTCGTGGAAGCATACCTTCAGGCTGAAACAGCTTCTAAAATTTTCATTAGGAGGAAATAGGATTGAAAACTGATTCAGAACAGTTCACGAGTTTCAAAATGACATGGTAAGAAACTTCCAGGGAAATGTTTATCTTTTGAGGAAACTTTATATCTAGAAATAGGGTGTTACATAAGATGCCTAAAATCCACTTAGTGCACAATCAACAGTTCATAAAATGCATATAATTCTTGAACAACTTAGAGCAGGAAGAAAATTACTTAGCTACCTGTGCTGGAAAGCTTTAAAGCTGTTAGTTGAAATTCAGTAATTTTGCTTCATTTAAAGGCTTCACTACAAACCCAAACCCTACCCTTCCTTGGTATAAAATAATTGAATAAAGGATTAGAAGAAAACAATTTAAGCTCTGTATTGAATGAGCATGAATAAAGCTGTAAGTGATGACATTGAAGAATACTTTTAAAAAACAACCTTCTAGCCTTACATACGTATCAGTCTTACGGCAGATTTAGGATTGATTATCTGTTTCACAAAGCTTACTTCCATCTTCCCTCCTAATAGACATATTTCTGTAGTATAGCATATATAATTCAGTCATCAGTTATCAAGAAGCAGTTCTAAAGCAAAATTTAACCCCATACTTTTTTCTTCTGAAGTGCTATGTGTATTCTGAATTAAAATCCTAGTATTCAAAGTACTTCTGTACTGAGAAACAACACAGTTTTAACTGATGTTGCCTGCATGTAGCCAACAGCTGATTTGATATGGCATAGAACTGGAAACAATCTGTTGTGTGGGCAGACTGTGCTGTGTTAGAAATAACCTGAGGACAGTTACCAACAATTATCTCAAAAGTTTTGGGGGCTACCTGCTGAATGTCTGAAGTCTACAAAGATTAATTGTATCAAGCTTAATAAACATTTTGTAGAAAATAAATATCATACAAAAATCTGTGCTTAATGCTAGCATTTGTAGTCATTGCATATTGTTTAAACAGGTGATTCATATAAAAATGGTAACTCCTAGAGGAATAGTAGAAAAAAACTGCCAAGTACCTCGCATGTCAACAGGACCTGATATCCATCACTTCATTATGGGATCTGAAGGTATAAACACAGTAATTTCACATAACTGCATCTTAATTCAAGTTCTGTAATGGCTTGATTTGAGCATCTTTAATGCTGTGACTTCCAGTGTGTCTATGGGTGGCATTATGCAGGCATGATTTTCTTGTGTTGGGATAATACATTGAGACCTTAATTAGGACTGTTAAACGACTCTGAAAAGTTCTTGAAACTGATATGTGGAGTTAACCTACAAGTCTGGTAACAAACATAATTTAGAGGATATTTTCTAAAAACTCACCACGTCAGGAATAAATTACCTGCTACTGCAATACTGAATTTTTGGTATTTCTGCTTTGTTAACTTACAACATCTTGGTAAACAGTTGTGAGGTTGGGTTACTTGCAGGAAGTACATCTTGCAACACTTAGTTTTTCTTTTTTCCTGAAGGAACTCTTGGAGTGGTTACTGAAGTTACGATAAAGATTCGCCCAGTCCCTGAATATCAGAAGTATGGCTCTGTGGTCTTCCCCAACTTTGAAAGAGGGGTGGCCTGCTTAAGGGAAGTGGCAAAGCAGGTAAAGAAAAGTTGGATGTTGGCTTCACTCAAGAACACAAATTCTATCACTAGGCGTGTGCTGATGGTCTAGTATTGTTGGCAATTGATAACCAAGGGTTTGAGATAATACAAACCTTGTAAGTGTATGTGGTCCATGAGGTTTTTGGAAATTATGTAGCTGAGGATTAAGCATGTTCTGAGTTTGCTTGAGATTCTGAGCCAAATTGTGGATGTGCCTTTTGATAGGTTTTTTTTCAGTGGGAGTTATTTGCATATCTTGGCACAGAAAATTTGGCTTTGCATCTTCTTCAACAGAGAGCTTTATCCTTAGATTAATTCAGGACTATGCAAAAGGGACCAGTATTTGAAGCAATTAAGTTGCAGCATACAAGTAAAAGGCAGCTAAATTTATGGCTCTGAAGTGACAGAGGAACAAAAGTCATGCAATGGAAGGTTATGACCTGTGTTTAGAAAACACTTCCTGAAACACAGTGACATGCTCAGGTGAGCTGGATATTTTGAGGTGGAATTGTGCTTAACTGTAATATTTAAATAGTCTTCTGAGTGGTGTGGTCAGATAATTTCAGGTAGCAAAACTTAGACATGGGTATCCAAATTTTGTAATGTTTTCCCTCGTGGCTGTGCTTCCAAGCAAATGTTACCTGGCTAGCCTCTTTCTTCACTCTCTTAGACTAACTTTTCTTCGCTTTGTGCAAAACATTAAATTGTTTCTATGAATGGTGGAATATACCCTGAATTGGGGAAGTAATTTCAGAAATGTTTTAATTAATGCCAAACTAAACACAGCTTTACATTTTTTCCAGTGATTGGTCTAAATTAATGACTTAATGTTCCAAGCCAGATGTTCAAACTGGTATGTGAATGACATGTATATGCTAGTCAGCAGCACTTGCCAGTTCTTCTGTCGTGCTTCTACTGCTAGTGCTTGTTCTTCCTGTTAAAGGTACCTAAGCAGACTGTTTGGGAATGCTTAATCATATGGCTGATCTACATTTTAAGTTAATTAAGGAATTAGTGTCTTTTCCTTAGCTATGGGCTTAGTTAGAAGAGGAAAAAAAAGCACTATTAGCCACTTAGAGTTGCTCCATTTCTAAGCTTCTGTTGCTGCTGCTGCTGTTTCACTGCTTACTTGAGCCTGAACTACTTATAACCTCTATTCTGTTGCCCCTCGCATCAATCTTAGTAGTAATTACAATGATCGCTATCTGAAAAGCTGTTTCTTGTCTGTATTGGTCTACTTTAATGTAAGAACCACCAACCTGTAGGTTGTGGGTGGGTTGGTCTCATTTAAAACCACTCATCCAGCTGCCTTCTGTCAACCTGCCTGGTGAGCTATCCTCATTTTCTTCCTTCCTATCATGTGACCAAGTATATATTAATGATATGTTGGAAGGTGAACATGTCAAATCCAAGTGATAGAGGAGTACTTCCATATCCATGTGATTAGATGGAGACTAGCCTAAAACTCAGGCTTTTGTCATATTCCTCTGGCCATACATTTCAGTATGACTGGAAATGGCCATCACAGATTACATGGTATAGGCATATGTATGACCAGAAGGATGCCTAATTGAAGGCAGCTGGTTTTACTGTTTTTCAGACTTTTATACAGTGTAGAATCTAGATATAGATTTTAATTGCAGTCTGATGGCAGAACATTAGTGTACTGGGTCTGGCTGGGATGGAGTTAATTTTCTTCATAGCAGCCTGAGTGGTGCTATGTTTTGTACTTGTGACCAAGACAATGTTAACAAACCAGTGTTTTAGCTGTTGTTGACAGTGTGTACACAGTGTCAAGGCCTTCTCTGTTTCTCGCTGTCTTCTCCCACTAGCAAGTAGGCTGGGAGGGAACACAGTTGAGACAGTTGACCCAAATTGACTTGAAGGGGTGTTCTGTACCATATAACATCATGGTCAAACTGGAAAGGGCAGTTTTTCAGGGGTTGTCGCTGCTTGGAGACTGGTAGGATACTGGTCAACTGGTGGTAATTGATTGCTTTTTGCACCACTTGGTGGTTTTTTTCCCACTCTTCTTACCAAACTTCATTTCAATCCATGAGTCTTCCTACTTTTACCCTTTGGATTTTCTCCCCCATCCCACTGGGTGAGAGTGAGTGAGCAGCTGTGTAGTGCTTAGCTGCCTGCCAGGATTAGCCCACAACAATTTTTCCATGCATTTATAATGTATGTGTATCTTTGATCACACAGGAACATAAGCTTGATATTCTAATCAAATATGTATCTTTAGTGCATATGACAATTTAGAAAAACACTCAGTACTTGAAGTTCAAAGGTCTTTGGACTGTTCCTCTGTTGACTTGAGGTCAAACTGAAAATTCTCAATGCATTATATCTAGACATACTTAGGTGTTGCTATTCAAGTGAAAACAAGCTTATAGTCACCCCTTTCAGGGATGATGGACATAGGTCTCTGGGATCAAAGTGTGCTTTCTTGTATGCTTTTCTTAATGAAAATTTGATTGTCATGGGTTTCAGCAAAACTGAGTACATAATCTTTTTATTCTTTCTCTCTCTCATTCCCTTGACCTTGCCCTCAAGAGATGTGCTCCTGCATCAATTCGTCTTGTTGACAATGCACAGTTTCAGTTTGGTGAGTAAGTAGATCATCTTGGACGAATATCTTTTTCCAGGGATTTCGATTTTTAGTAGCTTAAGTCTGTTTTGGGTGGTAATTCTTTTCCTCAAAACTACACAAAGGAGGCAGTGAACCCAAAGTTCAAACTTCAGGTAGTGCCATAATGTGGACTTTGAAAAACAGAAGCCTGTCACAGGGAAAATGGTATCTGCTACAACAGTCAGTGAAGAGCCATGGTCTGCATATAAATACATAAGGGTTTTTTTGTTACCTTTCCATTCTTGACATCTAATCTACCGGAAAGTTTGATATTCTGGAGTCACTTCCTCTATTTTGTGTAAAGGAGCAGAGATAATAGTGTTGCAGTATAGTACTTGAAATCTTTTCTTAAGAGTATTGATGAGAAGCCAGGTATGAAAAAAAAAAAACAACACAAAAACCAAACATCAGAACGCAGGCACCTTACTTTGAAGGTAAGTTGTTTGATTCCTTTAAATTTCATAAAAGCATCACAAGTCATGTACAGATTCCCTAGAAACAGCAGGGTTTTTGAAAGTAATCTGATGTGGCAATGATCGTTTGGGTGGGAGAGAGGCAGTGACATACTTGTCCAAAATGAGCTTTCTATTTTTAAAGAAAGCTCAGGTGTAGTAAATGCCGTAACTGTATGCAAATAGAAGTAAAAACCTACATCTTAAGTATTGAAAGTCAGTGAAACTACTAGAAGATTACTGAACAGAAAGATTTTTGTGAAATTTCAACTAGTTCATATAGCTAAATAGGACAATGTCAGACAATATTTTTGGAGGAGTTCTTCATAAAAGATGTAATTTTAAACTGTAGGAAATCTGCCAAAAGATGTGCTCTCCTCAAGAGTGTCTTGAGCCAGAATACAAAGTTCCACTACCCAAAAGCTAATACAGAACTTGAAGGTCTTGCTGAGACCATGCAATTTTGACTGTACCCAGAAGATGGAAATGTGAACTGTGACTGACCTTGAAAACCTCTTTTTTTAATAACGCTTGACAATTCAGAATTTCTGAAACTTATTTTGGACAGAAGCCTCAGTGATGAATCTTGACTTCAAATGCCATTAATATGATGGTGTTGAGAAAGTTGAGCTTTGTTTTTCAAACCAATGAGATCAGGATTTGTAAGACCTGAGAGCCCAGCAAGCCTTGCTGCTTGCTTTGGTCATGCTGGCATGTACAACAGAAGGCAGATGCATTTTTCTTTCTTAATTGTGAGGAAGTTTGACCAATTATAAGCTTTAAACCCAATGTTGAATAAATTGTTCTTCTTTTTAGCTTTGATCTGAGGTTGTAGCTTACATGGTTCCTTGCAAAACATAGTTTTGGCTGTGTCAATATAGATTTTTCTTGTAGTCATTACAGATTGTGATTTAATAAATTCATGCCCTTCTGCTCTTTGCTTTTTTGTGTGCTTGGAGGGGTACTCCTTGGGGTTTGTTTATATCTGCAAGGAGAGCTCTTTTACTGAAGAGGGAAGAAGAGTAATCAATTGCTGAAGTTCATGCTTTATTCAGGAGGAAATACTTCCTTCTAAAATACTTCACAAACTATCATGTAAATGGTGCATAACTTTTATGAATTGGGCTCACAGCATGTAGGCCAGATGCAAGACTGTTAAAGTGAAGCAGTAATGGTAGTTCAGAAGTTGCTTGTGACTGAAAACAATGGAACAAAGAGTGAAAGACTTTCATCTCAATTAATCCCAGTCCTGAGGCAGATATGTTAATTTAACAGACTCCAAGACACCATTTATATATCCTGGTGATTTTAGTTCTTCGTATGTGATTAAGGAAGCAATTACTAGTTTTATGTAGAAAATTTTGCACAAGTGACATAACCATTAAGGAAATAATTGCTTAACTCCTAACTTGCGCCAATTTTGGCTATAGACTTCAGTGGTTTTGGCATAACTTTTAAAAAAAGTCACTGATTGTTCTTAGTTTTGTAGTGTAAAAACTAATGAAGTGCTCTTTTAAAATTTTCCATATGTCATATACTTGTGAAGGTCTAGACTAGAGCAGCCTTAATTAGTGTCAAATGAAATATTTGTGCACATATATATGCCTTTAAAAAAATAATTAAAACTTTTCTTAAATTGTCTTTGAAATGAGTAGAGAGAAGTCTATGATAATACAAAGTGGTCTAAGTGATTCTTGCAACTTCAACTACTGAGCTATTTTTTAATTTGCCCATTGAATTTGTGATTTTGAGTACTGTTTGCCTTAACACACCTTTTCCCACTTTTTGCCAAAGGTCATGCTCTTAAACCACAAGTTGCTTCCATTTTTACATCATTTTTGGATGGACTGAAAAAATTCTACATCACAAAGGTAACTTTGGGGGCTTAATACTGTTTGGTACTGCATGCTTTTCTTAAAATTCAAGATTTTTCTGGTATACTGTCTCTAATGCAGCTGAGATTGAGTGTAACAGATCCTACATTGTAGTATTAGTTAACTCAAGATTCTCAAGGTGGTTCAATCCAAAATGAGATTATCTGTTTGAGGAGTTATTCCATGAGAGCTGTTCTCACTGGTCATATCTGTAGATGAAATTAATGTGTCTTGTCTAACAGTGAGTTGGTGACAGCAAGACTGAAACCAGTTTGCAGACCACAGATCAGTTAATACTGATGGAGTGAGGCTACCACTTCATCTTTTCACAGATCTTGTCAAGGTGTGATCTATCCTGTTATTACAGTGGAATAGAATTTTGGGAGAACCTCAAGATATTTGTCTTGAATTGCCCATATAGATAGACTTTTTTGTCTTTCTAGAATTCATCTCAATATCCTTTTTAATCCAGAATTATCTGGTGCTAAAATGATTTCACCTAGACTTTTGTATTAAATAATTTGTCTTGTTACTGAATTTTTCCTCCAAATTAGCTAACTAGAGAGTTCCTGCAAGTATGGGTATTCAAATGTAGAAAATTGTTTTATCCTGGATTTAGATAACTTAGATAGGAGGTAAACATTCCATTCTGATCTGATAATATTGAGGTTTTTCAAGGAGTGGGCTTATTTGAGAGATAGTGGCTAGTGTTGGTTCTGCTGTTTTTTCTTGTGCTACTGAAATGGACGATGCCGTGTGTCTTAAGACTTCTTTTGCTAGGGGATACCTATTAGGCTTGGAGAACCAAAATTTTACCTTCCCTCCCTGATCTGCTGTAGTGCAGGAATATCTAAAATAGTAACTGTTTTAGCAACAAGTTTGCTGTCAGTTTGGGGCAATCCTGGTTGGCATTATACTGTTTCTGTAGTCAGCAACAAGCATCACTACTTCTTGGGATGTTGTATGGCAATTCCAGTTCTTCCAACTCTGTAGGAGAAAAAGAACATGGAAGAAATGGCAAATGCTATGTAATACTCATGCAGAGATTCCAGGTTGGTGACCAATCTGCAGTTCTTACGTCAGGGCTTAGTCCCCTGGTGTGTATGAGCAACTTCTACTTCAGAGAAACTCCCAGCTGGGACGGGAAGTAGGAGTATAGAAAGGAGCAAATTTAATGACCCTGAAACTGATATTGCAGGTGTTACTGGGACCAAGATACTCAAATCCATCTTGTATTTACTTCCATCTGTGAATTTTAACATCCCCATGTTAACAAAGTAAACATCAGAATACAGAACACATAAGACTAACCTTTCAGTGAATGAAGTAGTCATTCGGGGCAAAGTAGATTGGGACAAAGTCTTTCTTGTTTACTCCATGTAGTTTGGGACTGTTTACTGACAGATGAGTCCTCTAGGTGGTGTTTGTCTAATAATTCACACTATCTAGTTCCTCCAGTGCCTCTTAGAGAACTGTGAGGTTACCTGAGCATTACAGCCAAAAGATGGCAGAATAGATGAAAGGATTCATACTAGATCAAATACAAGTGGTTTTAGAACAAGAAGGGACTGTAAATAGCATCTTAATAGACCTTTATTTGTGTCCTTGGAGTTTATCACTGTAATAACAATATTTCTTTGTTAGCTATGCTGATTTTGTAGCACTAATGGATAAGACAGATCCTTTGCCTGGGGAGGTATATTCTATTTCAGTGTTTTTCATGATGATGTTTTGTTGGGGTGGTAGGGTGGAATATCCTTTTCAGGAATAATAACTTGGATGTCTCTGGCTGGGGTCCACCATACAGATTTGAGCTCATTGGCTGGAGGACTGAGCCACCCCAAGATACTTTGCCTCATTGCTAGTTTTTATGGACCCTCCTGGTACCTTCAGTTAAGTTCTAGTACAGTTAATCTATTCAGTTAAGGGAATAATAAAAGGAATAGCAACTAACTGGGATTTTTCTCAGCATAGTTGTTGCACATAAAGGATGAATTTAAATCTCTTGACTATTCATGTAACTTCATATAACCTTGCTTGGTGCTTAAGTAACAAGTGACCACAAGCAGAGTGGAGACTGGATGAGATGAATGCCACTGGCAAGGGAAAGGCTTTAAAAAAATTGTTGGTCAATATACATATGATTTAGAACAACATATTCTTAATAAATTTTACCCTTTTTGACTGTGGAAAATTATTAGACTTTATTGCAACTCTATATTAATATCCATTCTGTCTGAAACCTTCTTAGTAGTGGTAGTTCACTGGAACTAATTAATAATAAGGTATGTAGAAAATAAGTAAGGGTCTTTTTTGGACCAGTTGCACAGATATGACTTTTCACTATTACTCCTGAAACAAAGCCATACAGACAGCCTCACTGCATTACTATTAAACCCTTAATAGTGTTCTCCCCATTTCCACTGGGATATGTTCCCTGCTACAAGTTGAGAAGTTATTTTCCTTCTGTAGTGCTTTTCCCAGCATAGAGATTTTCTGTGGCACACTGCTGATGGAACAATTTTGAGAACAGTGACATTTACGGTCATCATAGTCATCTTCCTGCTTTAATACAGGAATAGTTGACAGAATATAAATGTCTCCCTATTGCTCAAAGGATTTTAAGGCCTGCTCTTTTTTCAGCATAGGTAGACAACTGTTACGTCTATCCTGCTTTTTAATAACAGGAGAAAAAAGGTGGCAGATAATCTCTGTTTCAGTGGGCTTGTGAATGTTTGTCAAGGAAAATCTTGATTGTTTTGGGAGTAAAATTTTGAAAGATGTTTTTTCCTAACCTTTCCTCTTGCAACAATTTACTAACCAGAGCCCATGCTATGTATTTGAAAAGTAAAAACTTGTTGCTTGTATTCTGCCACATAGGCGTTGACATGATACTAGGTTTTCTCTCTTTGCAGTTTAAAGGATTTGATCCCAACATACTGTGTGTTGCTACCTTGCTCTTTGAGGGTGACAGAGAGAAGGTTCTTCAGCATGAAAAGCAAGTCTATGATATTGCCACCAAGTTTGGGTATGCTTTTCAAATAACTTTTTCTTATAAAGATAGGATTAACTGTCCAGGAGAAAATAGGATTACCATATTTTTATAGTGATTACTGTATGAATATGTTCTCAGTTTACTTGTTTGAAGTGGCAATAATCATTTAGCTACTGAGTGTTCCCTTTGATAAATATGGCTTGCGCTCTTAATAGATACCTTTACTGAAAAACTTCAGCTGTCTGTGTATCACAGAAAACTATTTCACTAAATATAGAATTGATGTTATTAAAATGGAGACTAGCCCTTGTAATTGCTTATAGACATGGAAGCTGATTGTTTTGCAATGCTAGACTGTATTTTAACTACAGAACTGGAACACAGAATCATAAGGGTAGTATTAAATCTTTACCGAATTGATGTGAGCATATGAATACAAGAAGCTTGTTTAAAAGAAGAATTTGTGTTCAGTTAAAGGAGTGCAGTGAACTTATGTCCTGCAGACTGTTTTCTATCCTTACAAAGGAACAGAAGCCATCAGTAGGAGTGGCAGGTTGGGTAATCATCACATAGTTTGTCCTGGTTTGATTAAGCGTGGTTTGATGAAAACCATCATTAAAAGTGTGATTTGTCAAGAATATACTTTTAAAAGTTATTGCTAGTGTTAGTCTCAACTGTTCAAAAGTATGTAAGTATTGTTTTAGCCATTTTAAGGCTATCCTCTTCTGAAATTTGGGGTTTCCTTGTGCTTTTGTTCTACCACTTAAAACAGCTTAAAATTCGGCTTTCATGTGAGCAGCTTGCTAACATTCAGTGATAAGAATAACACTGCTCTTTAGTCTTAAAGAGCATTTCGGTTTAATGTTTTATGCAAGAAAAGGCTTCAACTGTGAATTGTTTTATATATTGGTATTTTGAGATGGTGTATCGATAATGGGGGAACTTTTCTATGTTAGGTCTGTTAGAAGATAGTGCTGTCTGTTCTGCTTGGTTAAGACTATTAGATGTTTACTATAAATGTTTAGTCGTTTAACCTGGTCTAAAGTGCTAAACCATTTCATGGTCTAAAATGTTTTAATGTTTTAATTCTGTCCTTTAGGATGTCTGATTCCCACCCTCCCTGGATTTACAGGAGCTTCTAGGAAGGCTGATTACCATTACATAGCATTTTCTTGTTCTCAGAAACCAATAGTTAAAAACAAAGACTTTCATAATGCTCCTAACTTGATTGACTGGTGAAAGCAAGGCTTCATTTTTCTTTGGTGCTATGTCTTTTATCCATTCACATCACTTACACTTTTGGGATCTTTAAGGCAGTAGTCTTGCTCTCCATGACCTATGAGCATACAAGTGCACAACAACTTCAACATGCTTAGAAATGTAGATACACATATTCCTGTGAATGAACATCAAGGATATACTGTGTCTAGATCTGTTTCCCCTGCTCTTTTGAGATGTTTGAAGACTATTTAAAGATCACATCAGATGTTTTGTTATTGTTCATCTCTTCAGATTATGGGATGAAAAGAGAAATGCAAAGAGTTAAAGGTCTGATCTGAAGTAATTTCTCATTTCTAATGGAAAAGAGACCCTACTATTTACAACTATTGTAACACAGCTTGGAGACAGCTAAACTTGCACATGTTTGATAATCAAAGTATTATTTTTATAATTCTTTTTGGAAACCAGTGACTACTTTGCTGGAAAGTTAATTAAATTCTTATTAATTGCAGTGGCTTGGCAGCAGGAGAAGATAATGGACAGAGAGGGTATATGCTGACATTCGTCATTGCTTACCTTCGGGTAGGTTCACCTTTTGTCTGCCTGCTGAAACTTTTGTTAATTAATAAAACAAAGATGTCTATTTTGAAGATGCTTTCTCTGAAGTCTCAATGCATGTTGCCTTGGATGGTACATTAACCTTCTCTGAGAGGTTGTACCTCTTCCATTTCTGGTTAGTGTTTACTCGTGGAACTTCATCTGCAAAACACCATAAAGTCATTAATTTATGTGTTTGCTAAGAAAATAGTTTCTGATACAGGTTAGGAAAAATTAGATTGAAGAACCCACTAGCAGTTTCTAAATAAACCAGATCAGTCTTATAAATCCACAGGTTGAATGTAATTGGAGGATGGGAGAGTACTTGAAATGTGCTCACTCAGCTTTTACTCTTCTTTGGACATCTGTTTATGGCTGTAGTTCAAATCAGAATTCAAGGACAAATGGACCTTTAGTCTGAACTGCTGCAGCTGTTCTTAGGAACTTTAGTCTGTTTAAGAGATTTTTTGGGGTTTTTTGTTGGGTTTTTTTTTTTACATCCTTTTATGCACATCCTGAGTGCTAGATTTTATTTGGCTTTTAGTCAGGGACAAATCACTAATTTTTCCCTTTATTTCAGCAGGCTATATGTAAAGTGGACAAAATATTTGTCTTTATTCTACCTAGATAGATATTGCACTCCAAATAAATATTTCTACTAGGTATTATATTGGTTAGCACAGTGGAGCTCTTGGCTTGATACTATAGTAGTACAATATATGATTAGTTTAGGCATACTGACAGTCTAACAAGTTGTCTCACTATAGCCACGACATCAAAATGTTTGTCATCTGTGTCTTTGATGACACCTATTTCCATAATTATAAATGGACAGATGGGTGTTTCTGCTAAATAGACTTTCTGTTTTTCCTCTTACAAACTAAAATTGCTCAACTGTTAGCTGTGTAGCATAGACCGGAATTCCAGATGTTGATGCTGAACGTTGCTGATAATTTCCGTTTTCTATTTATTAGGACCTGGGCCTGGATTACTATGTAATAGGAGAATCATTTGAGACATCTGTTCCTTGGGATAGGTAAACTGCGATTATTCTTTAGTATTACTTAAAACTTGTATTTGAATTCATTCAAATTATTTCTAACTCATGCTTGCTCATGGGGAAACTTAATTTAGGCCTTATGTGTACTGGAGGTTCCCTGATGTGCCTCAAGTCTTGCACCTGTGTGTTCTTGCTAAAGTTCCTAGTAAATTACATATCAGGATTTTATAAATGCAATGTATGCAAGCAGTCAGTAATATTTCTACTTAGATTAGCTTACTGTAACAAATTCAGGACTGGAAATTGCACCAGCTTAGGAGGTGGACAGTGGTGACAATAACTGTATTGTGTGGTGAGCGGTCACACATGTGGGATCAGCAGTGTATTTCAAACAGAAAAGTTTGTGGTGAAGATCTAAAAAAAAATATATATTTAAGGTCTTTTCTTTCCTCAGTAATGCAGGGAAATGAAAACTGAAAAGATAAATTTTGCTCAAGGTTAAGATCATTTTGCTCAAGATACAGATCTTTTTCCTAAGCTTATTTTACATTAGCTATGGTTGATAAACACTTGATCACAATGGTTTAATATATGAAATCACTTTGGATACTTCTGCCCATTTGGTAAGCCAGAAACCTCTTAAGCAGGATCTAAGGTTATTTGAATTAAAGCTTTACAGTGGAAATTGTGCAAAGTGTGGTGATTTACACTGGCAAGGCTGTATCCTTACTATTGAAATTAGTGGCAGTGGTAAGTTCTAGCCTCTGGTTTGAAAACTGGCATAGTACCTTAAATGGCTACCAGAAATTTGAGGACAATTTAAATTGTAATTGTAATAATAAAGTATTTAAGAGAATATTTTCAAATGTCCTCATGAAAGCAAATGTTTTCAGAAACGATTTTCTGCTCTAACTCACAAGAACCATGTCATTTTTCATAAATCAGTTAACCTCCTTATTCCTGACAGGTTGAAAATACTTTAAAATATTTACTTGCTTATTCACTGAATGGATAAATTTCTCTTGGGCATTACTTCTATCCGTCTGCAAAGTATTTTTAAATCTCTGTAAAATATCTTAATCTGAATTGTACAGTATAGCACTGCAGACCTTTGTGGGAGAACATGTAACTGAAGAAATGGTCATTGGAAAAAAAGTGATTTACTTCAATTGTTCAGCACTTTGGATGCACCTGGGTCTGCCCTAGAAGAAAGAAATAATAAAAGCAAAACAAGTATGGCTTATGACAAGGTTTAATAGCTGTTTGCCATATTAGAACTATAACATTTCAAGTTGGCAAGGTAGTGCACAGCTGGAGTATCTCCAGTTTTGGCCTTGCAACATAACAAAGTATGTTACTAGCAGAGTATACAAGGCCTTAGAGTTCTCACGCTTTCTATTGTGAGCTGTATTTGTTGACCACTTTGCCAAAAGTCTGGGGTGGTTTTACTGAGAAAGTAAGTAAAGACATACAGAAGTAGGTAACCTCCATTTTCTATTGAACACTTTTGAATCCTATTCCATATGAAAAAGAGCTTTCATTATGTACTCTGCTTCAGAGTAAACTTTCTATACAGAAAAAGCAGTACAAGTGAAGTCTTGATGAGTACTATTCTTAGAACAAAATCAAGTTCTAGAAGGCAATCTTCTGCTTTATTAGGTTATACTTTTTGAAGTTGTGTTTTTAGGAAGTTGTATAAAATCATATACTAAGATTTTATATTTAGCGTGTTTTCTGTTACAGGGTTTTGGATCTTTGTAGGAATGTGAAGGAAAGGATAGTAAGAGAATGCAAAGAAAAGGGTGTTCAGTTTGCTCCTCTTTCCACCTGCAGGTAAGCCATGTAACAACCATAAATAATCATTTTTCTTGAATTTCTGATTAAGAGAACTAAGGAAGAGGTCATTATACATAGTAGCTAGTAGGTAAAGTGCATCTTAATGATATTGCAAACACTAGTAATCTTGACCTTCCTCTTTAATATGCAAATGGATTGCATGTAAGAATGGGTAATTCAAGGGATTAGTAGCACTTGATTAGTCTTGACCCTAACTCTTATGCACGAGTCAAGTGTAACGATTTAAGAGCTTCAGCTCTGTCAGCATTGCATCACTCATGAAGTATGAGTAAAAAGGATACAAAACTCCTTAAAAAAAAAAAAGCTACCCTTTTGAATAAGTGGAGTAACCTAATGAATTGTGTAATGACACATAGTGGCTGGCTTAATACCATAAAGCTTTGTTTGTAATGCAGTTCTCTTCAACAGGGTGACACAGACTTATGATGCAGGTGCATGTGTCTACTTCTACTTTGCTTTTAACTACAGAGGAATTAGTGATCCTATTCATGTCTATGAACAAATTGAGGTAATGTATGTAAGAACAATAGTTAAGGGGGAGGGGGTAAAGCCAATGTCCCATAATATGTACTGAACCCATTGACTAAGATAACTGAATTTCAGGAAAGATCTCAAAAGTCTGTTTGTAAGGCTTTTATTAACAGCTAGGGAAAGAGGTGCATACTAATAGTGTATCAAGTAGAGCAAAGACTGCCAGGTGACTATTTTAGGCATCAGTAAATGAATACTTATGTAGAATGGCTAAAGTATAGGAAAGCTTGAACTGGAGTCTGGTTTTGGATGGCAGAAATTATCAACCATAAAACCCAAATCTCTGGAAGACAAGACTTCCTGGTTCCATTGTTTACAAAGCTTCTTTCACTTGATTAGTCTTTAAAATACATGGTAAACTTGTCAAGATCATCCTTTATTAATAGTGCTGCATGTAGAGAATAATGAATGTGAGAGTGTCTTGTGCTATTTCAGAGAATGGACTGCTGTGGTTATTTCTACTTAGCAGACTTAGACTGGCACTTATCTATGTCTGTGTTAGACCAATTGTAAGCTGCTTTGACATTTACCACAAAGCTATGGAATAACTCTGTTTTAACACTTCGGCTGGTGAAACACTATGTTCACCTAGTTAGGGGAAACCAATATCCTTGTTACCTTGAAGGTGTAATGCTTAGATGTAGAAGGACTATGGCCAAACTGCTTTTCATCCTACCTTTTGGTTCATATGCTCAAACTTCAGCACCAGAAAACTGCTAATAGGACTGTGGAGAAACAGGCTATGTTTGTAACTATGATATTGTTTTTCCCATGCTTATTCTCTAGAAATTTCTCTTGAACGTGGCAAGCAGATGCAAAGCTTTATTTACAATTTGAGACTTCCATGCTATTGACTCTAGGGCATTGGAAAGCATCATACTTGAGTGCTTATTTAATGAAACTTTATTAATACTTAGATTCTACTGTTTATTGGAATCAGGTAGTAGTGTGATCACCTAGATGCATGCCTTCCATTGTAGGTGACTAAATTTAACCTAACAAAGTGAGTTTGCCAACCAAGTATATGCACTCTGTGGCAGACTGAAAAATATCTCTAACTGCATTGGTATGGTTATATATGTTATTCTTAGAAAAAGTATGATTCTATGAAAAAAGATTTTAGTGCTTGTGCTTAGGAAACCTTGCTTTGTTATACCTTCTAAGCTGCCTAAGTATTCATAATCAGAGCTGGATGGGAAGAAAGATTATAGAGCTTGAAAGTGTTCATATATTTCTTAACATAAAAATCTAAATTTTGTTTTCTGTCACAAAATTCACCCATGCAAGGGTTGTCAGTTGTAAAATACCTAATTTCCTTAACCACTGTCTTGGAGATCTGGGTCCAAACTCCGGTCTGAATAAGAATCTTGAATTACTCTGGGAAGCCTGTTTTCAGACTTCTTTATTGTGGTTTCCTTTTCAGTACGCACTTAACCATCTTCCAGATGAGCATCCCAGTCATTAGACTATTTTAGTTTTGGCAAGGGGGAATATTCCATTCTGGAATAATAGATTTGTTGTAGCAGATGGCATTTAAAAATGTCTTGACTTTGATAATGCTTATATGGAAAATCCTCACTTACTTTTATCTTCAGACTTGAACTAAAATATTTTTCTGTATTGTGTACCCTAGTTATTTCTGAAACTTTTCATACAGCTGTGCAAATGCATGTGATAGCAAGCATTTCACTAAAAATAAAAATCTTGTGCATTTGTTGATGAATAAACACCTTATCTTTCCAATTTAGAGGGCTGCTAGAGAAGAAATACTTGCCAATGGAGGAAGTCTGTCACATCACCATGGAGGTAATGTTCTCAGTCTAGTCTCTTTGATACTGCTAAATATTCATGAATACATAAAATAGTTTGTAATAGAACTTTGAAAAATATTTAACAGGCATTAACTGAAATTACTGGGGGAGGGGATCTCCTGGCTTTCTTTCTAGAAACTTCTCACTCATTTGTCAGACTTTCAGGGAGAAGTGTCCCTGGACCTGGTTGGCTTGATGTTAGGTCACACAATGTATATTTATGAGCACCAGCTTCAGGCCTTTGATAGGAAGTCTATAGGCTGTCTGAGAACCTGAAAATGTATTTGGTTTATCCTTAGCAACTTCTACTGAACCTTATGCAGAGGTATATTCAGTTAAAGACCTCAAATGGGAGTTTCTCAGTTTTAAGACAGTTTAGTGTCCCTTGGGACCATGTGAATAATATTAGCCATAATTCCAGAGCACTTAGTGAAAGTATCTGAATTAAAAAGCTGTTGACTTTAAACTGGGCTGTGTTGCATATTTGATGTTATTGTAAGTATTGTATTACTGTCTTGCTGTCTGCTAACTTCTGATTATTCAATTTCTTTTCTTGGAGTTAGGAATTACTTGTCCTGAGGTTTTTTGCAAGCTATTTTGTGCTTTTGTATTATGTTTAAGAACTAATATCATGTATAAGTGAAACTTCTTATATCTGATGCCTTACATATGCTTTTCCCACATACTCAGCCTAATTTGATTGCATGTGTCCTATATAATGCTGTGAACTTGGACGACAGGAGGACTTGTGAAGTCAGTTTGATTTGTGCAGCTAGCTGCTTGAAACTGGTTAACTTAATGCATTATTTCTCTCTACTGTCTTGGGGCACTGTTTGGCCACAGAAATAAGAGCAAAGAGGAAATCTCATGGTTTAAAACGAGATAAAAATTTTGTAATTCTAAGAAAGCTCTGTGTAGGGGAAAACTGAAGGGCAGAAGCTGGTGAGTTCCTGGACTTGAAACTTTTAGCTAGGGCTGTTTTCAGGCCTATAGGTTTGATAGAAACTGAACTGGACTCTGCTTTAGCAATATCAGGACATTGAAAGATGTGTAGGTGATAACATGAGTGAAAACAGTTTCAGAATTTTTTGGTTAATATGCTTATTGTCCTCTGATTAAATCTCTAATGTGGTGGTATAGGAGACTGGTCAAATTTTGCATGTGGAATGTGGAATTACCCCCTTGATCTACTATTGTGCTCTCCCCTGCTGTGGCAGCTGTATTTTACTGTGACTAGCATTTCATCCATTAACTTGCATGCAGCTGGAGCTTGTCACATGTTTGGATGTATTTGCCTTCACCATATGAAACCTTGTGTACAGCATATGTTGAACAAGAAAAAAAAGCTTTTTCAAATCCTTGCACACTTGAACTTTCTGACCACAGATATGGGAAACTTGGTTCTGTTAGACTTGTTATGCTTCTGGTGTATGCATGGCTGCCTTTTATACTGTTAAATATTTTCTGCTTTGTTTTTGTCTGGCAGTTCATTGTGTACTATATTCAAGATTTGTTTTTTCCAGTGCTTAAGTGGATGTGCTGTTGAGAATTAGCCTAATAGTATTAGTTTTATTTACTGACCTTCAGACCTTGTCACTCTTAGCACTGCTAAGACCGTTCTTTTGTGTGTGGTAAAATACTGGTGCAGTTTCTTTTAGTATTTGTCTTGTAATTGTGATTAATAACAGTTGTTTTCACTATCTGGAAACAGACAGGCTGGTTTGTCTGCCTACAATCACACTATGATAAATGGAGCTATTCTAACTCTGGTTTTGTGTATCAAAGAAAACAGATGTAGTCTGGGACTTGAGGCTATAGGAAATACAAAGCCTGCTTAAGTCAATCTTCATACAGTCCTTGGGTGAAGAAGTGGTCATATATGACAGTTTGAGATATGTAAAGCTCTAAATTACTTCACATCTGGGGAAGTACTAACTGCAGGTAGACACATAGCTAAAATCTACAGTGAGAACTGAAACCATGATACTTTTAATTTTATAAAGAGTAACTTCAGAAAGACCTTACTTTGGATTCTGTTTTAATCTCAATGTCTCGTCTCTGCTCCCCTCCCTCCAGGCTAATGGGAAATACTGTAACTTTGAGGCAAGGCTCACTAAAGATAGCAATACTGTGAGAAGATCCCCCTCTATTAGTTTTCATAAGTACTTTTATTTAATGAATTGCATTAAAGATCACACCTTGCAATATGTAATAACAACATTCCAGCAAAGAAATTGCAGAAGTTTATCAATACCAGCCTTGTACAGCAAGCATCTCATGGTGACAAGAAGCTGTAGCTGGCCAGACATATATATCTCTGTAATAAATTTATCCTTTCAATGTAACAGTTACTTGTATTTTGGGGTAGAATATCTGGATTTTTTTGTTTTTATAAATCTGAACATAATTTCTGTGATACTGCATCTTAAATTATTTTGTCCTTTTAATCAAATTGTCTTTTTGAAGTCTTTCTTGCTCTTCACTCAAATATTTAAATCTGGTTGGTGTCAGGAATGGTTTTCTTAATGTCAGTATTTAACACTATATGTTTCTGGGTTACATACTGAACAGAGTTTACGTTTAGAAAGAATCTGAGGCATGTGTTGCTATATAAATACACCTAAAATACATAGCTGATCAGATAGGCACTTAAGCACAAGGAAGTCAGCTATTCTCCAGTGCATTAGAAATTGACCCTTACAGAAGATGTTATCAGGTTTTTTTCTTTATGATCCTGATAGTCTTGTCTAAATGTGGTAGGTCTTGCTAAATTTGTTGTGAACAAACTGCTGAAAAGCTTCTTGGTGGTTTTAGACTAGCTAGTGACAAGTGGTTTCTTGTGCCTTTTTGTTTTTAACATAGCGTTTTAACTAATGTTATGACATAACCTGTGATTTTAATAAAAGTTTTTGAAAGGTATTCAGGAATTAGGTATTCTAATTGTAGCATTCCTCATCTTCATTTCCTACATGAGATTTTACAGTCTTGATTATAGTTTTCGCCTTGCCTTGACTACATCCTACACTTTAAAAAGGGATAGTGCACATTTCTGAACACAGCTTTGATCCTTCTGCTTTTCTGGCTGCTGAGTACCTTTAGATTTAAGAGTCATGCCGGTAAGGGTTGCTAGAGCCACAGTTAGCTTCTAGAAACAGCGTTAAAGCTGCATTAGGAATGACAATTTCTTGTAGATAAAAGTTTAAATTTAGATAAATGGTTCTTCTGATTGTTTAGGGCAAGCCCTAAAACCACCCATATGATGTCACACCTTGCATTCTTGAATTTCCTTTTCATAAAATACATGCCTTTTTTTGTATACATAACATATGCTGAGGAAGCATCAGTAGGTATGACTGGTGTATAAATGCAACTGTAACAACCCTTTTGAGGTACAGCATTAGAAGAAAGCTGGCTGGATTTGAGCCCAATTCCTTCTGTATTACCAGGCTAAGCACCCATGTAAAATTAAGGAACAGTGTAAAAATTAGTGATAGATTGTTTCCCTTGTAGGGAATGTTCTAGCTAAAACTGGTTATTTCAGGAAACAATTATTAGCTTGTGGATTTGAGGAAAATACCCACATTTACCCATCTAACAGAACTAACTTTCTTCTACTTTCTAGACAAATTGATTAGAATAAAGGTTAAGCAAGTAGCTCAGGCTCCATGGATTTAGGTATAGTATCAATTTCCTGGCAGTTTATGTAGGAAAACTTTAAAATCCAAAACACAACAAAAACCCAAACCAACACCTCCCCACCACCCCCCAAAAACCCCATAACCAAAAACCCCCCACACCTTACTTGCATTCAGTTACATGTTTGACATGGCAATTCATTATAATTGCTTGGCATCATTAAGAGGCTGTGGTTTAAGCTATACACTGTAGTAGTTAACCTGCATAAACTACGAAATCTGGAATTATAAAACTCCCTTATGGGTGGAAACACCATCTTTTCTCCTCTACACAGGAAGAGTATCTTATTAGCTTTAAGTTAAGCACTGGAGACTGATCGTATTTTCATCTTGCAACTAGAGCTTGCTCTAGTGATTAAAATGGGTTTAAGATGTGATGTTTGTCATACAGAGTAAACTTATGTGAAATAAAATGACACCATTATATTTTCCTCCTTGGTCTGAAAGTCTTAATAGTCATCTTCAGTGCCTTTTCCACCAAATAAATGGAAAGGACTTTCTGATCCATCAGCATAGAACTTGAAAGTACTTAAATTGTTTAGATATTAACTGAAAATGTGCATTATGTTATGGTGATAGTGTTAGTTATGTGATAGACTTCAGGTACCCCACTGGTCCAATATACTTCAGCACTGACCTTTCTCAGTATTGCAGAGCTCTTTCTGGAAGGGTAATAACCCATTAAGCAATTTCTAAGAGTAGAGAGATGCTTTACATAGAGATAACCAGCTTCAGGAAGAGCATGAAACAGCTATAAGAGTCCCATCCTTCTTATGACCTGTTACTGCTTCTCCTTTTGCAAAGCTATTGTTCTGAAATAACTAAAAGTTGAAAGGACTGGAGTAGGGGAAGTCTAGGGCTATGCTCAGTGCCACTAGAGCCTATTTCTGCCATGACCACGTAGTGCTATAAATCTGTTCTGCATGGGTGTAGAGTTATTCCTGGGTTCCATCAGCTACATTAAAACTTTCCTTACAAGACCATGCACGTGTGCCCGAGTATTTCATATTCCAACAGTAAGAAAACCAATTGCTGCCTGCTGCTTGCTAGCTCCATCCTTAGTCAGACTTTTTTGTGGCTATCCAGGTGCATTTTTAAAGATGTAGCCTATATGAGCCAGGAGAACTGTACTCCCATTTTATCTTCTTTGTGGCCAGCAGGTATGTGCTACCTATTTAATGCACTTCTCTTTGAAAAACTATGCACTTGGGAAACTATAGTAATTTTTGGCAGAGAATGTCATGATGGTGCATGTTTGCTTGTTTTTTCCAAGGGGTGGGCTCTATGGGAGCAGCGTAGAGTATGATTGAACTTCACCAAAGTGTATTTTATATCGTAACAGATTAAAACAGCTAAGGGTTAGACCAGCATGTATCAGAACTGGGAAAAAGTTACTCAGCTCACTTTTTTTTTTTCATATATGGACTATAATAATAAAACTTGAGAATACTGCAAAAATTGGTGTTGGACTGTGGTGGAGAGTTGCTACTGAACAAACTTCTTGGCTTTATCGTCTGAAGTATTTTGTGGTAGACTCTGTCATGCTAGGGTGTCTGTGCTCTATGTAATAGGCTGGGCTTCAGATTGAAGACTTCTGGCTTCCTAGCAGTGAATGTTTTAAGGCGTTAGACTGCTCAGCATACCTCAGGAACAGGGCACTTGCCACTTGAAACACTTGAAAACTAATTCTGTCACATGTCATCTTGGATAATTAAGATGCAAGATTAGGTGTCTTCAGAGGAAGAAGATGCAAGAAGAAAAGACTGTACTTTCCAGTTAGGGAAACAAGGATTGTGTGTGTAATGGTGTGTATAGCTGGGTTGACAAGTAGTGACTTGTTAAGCTACTACAAATTGATTGTACAATGTTATGCTCATTTGAGAACCTTATTATTAATGTTATGAAGTAGCATATAGGATTAGGTCAATTTGATTGCTTTTTTCTTAAATGAGCAAAGTATACCACATTGAGAGCCTGTAAGTGGTAGATGCTTGGATAAAATCTGGTTGTGTGCACTGTCTCATGTCAGTTCTAGATAAATGGCATCATGTAGGCCTAAAACTTAAAAAGTTTATTTTTTCTAGGCTAGAAATGAAAAGGTGTTCTTCTCTAGTCATGGTAAAATCAGGTTTAATTGAGACCTCTTACTGTTAGGGAAGTCAAGGTTTCCTTGAGCCCAAAGCTGTTCTTTGGCTAGGCTTAGAGTGGAGTTAAGCAGCTTTGCCGTAATAATAAAAGATGTCACCATGAATGTAAAAATAATTCCAAGTGGCAATTTCTTCCTCCTTTTCCCTTCTCATCCTAGAAGCTAATTGGATTGTCCTATGGAGGAGGAACAGAATACTTTAGAGGGCAGCACTGACTTAAAGTGAAACAAATAGAAACTTCGCTTTTCTAAGTGGTGCTCTCATCTGCACAGAGCCTTTCCTTCACTTGGTTTATTTTCCATTTAATCAGATGAACTGGCTTAGAATTCTAAGAGTGCAATTGCTTCAATGATGTTTATCTCTAATATGAAAACCTGAGTAACTGAAAAATCCATGTATATCTTATTGACATGACCAGTAGGAGCAGGGGCTCAACTTAATGTTATCAAGGGGTTAAAATCTTTTCATTGAACATGTTTATGAAGGACTGCTGGTAACTGTAGTACAGCTTTTTCTTTCCAGTTCACTAATCAAATGTATGTTAGATTTATTATTGCAAAAGTATAAACCATAGAAAATTTGACAAGATAGATGTGTAAATTATCACTTTGACAGAACTAATGATGCACTCCAAGCACCTTCTGTTTTCCAGCACTTGGTGAGCGACTTCATTAAATATGCAACGACTGTTTGGTGCTGCTCAGACAGTAGTTCAGTTCCTTGTGGAATTGCATTATTACTGGAGGTGTAAAAGAGGCAGGCATGCTAGCTGTTGGGCATCCTGCTGTGATTCTAATGTGCTCCATCTTGTTGAAGCAGTTGTTTGCAGTCTTTTCAGGACAATTACATCCATAACCACAGGACACATTCACTGAAACTATATTACAGATAACAGTTGAGAATGGTAATGACTGTTCTTCAGCTGCTTGTGTAAGAGCCAGTGTGAGTGACTTGAGGTGATGGTCAAGCAAGATCCATGATTCTTCTTTTTGTAGCAGTAGTATTAAAGTTTCCCCAGATAAAATTTAACTACATCAACTTGCTCACAGGCAAATTGCAGTGATGGTATATTTATAGATGGGGATTTTTTTCTTGAGCTGGACTGTAAAATACAACCACAGTTCCTACCACATGACAAATCCTTTTGTCCTTCAGTCATGATCTTTGCTCTTGACACACGTGCTGTTAATAGTTGTTTTCTAGCAAACTGCAAATTTCATTCTTTCTCACATTATTTGGTTTTTCACTTGGCATTTTGACTAGCTCATACTCCTTAAGGTATAAACAAATATATTCTGTTCTCCAGAGGTGTCCCTGTAATTTATTATTCTGATGACAGTTTGATGGTTACCCTGAGAACAGGGCACAAAAGATGGCTTGAATTTAGCTTCAGATACTCTTAAAGCATCTGTCTCTCAAACCTTTACTATATCGCATCATACTGACAAATGGATTGTGTTTCAGGATGACAAGTTAAATGCTATACTGTGTTTAATGAAAAAAATGTCCTTTATTTTTGAAGATCTGTTAAATCAGAGTTGATGACTTGGTTAATTATTATGTGAACACTCGGCCATTTAACAGGAGTATTGTGAGACTTTGAAATGAGTTCTTAAATGGCTGGTGTTTCAGTTTTGCTTTGTATTTAGTATATGTTGTGAATATCCATTTTTACATGGACAACTAAGCTTTTGTGTAATGGTATGAGCAATTGCCAGCCTGTCTAAAAGTATGAAATAAGATATTTTGTTGAGCTAAAACCAGGCTGTAAGCCTTCTAGAAAACAATTTTTGTTATTTAAACCAATACTCTTTTAAGTTTATTACTGAGTTATGTTTTTACTTTAAAAAGAGGTGTGGGGTTCTGCTTTTTAGTAATCTCTAGAGTTTCCTACTTAAAATTAGTTTGCTGTTTTTTTAAAACTTATTACCGATTTCCCTATTTTAATAGAACGTGATTTCAGCCTAAGCTTCATCTAAATTTCATAGTTTCTAAAGAAAGTAGACAGTGTGGAACACAGTCTTCCTCTGGGAGTATGCTGAGCTTAATGAGCTTGATAGTCTGGTGGGCTCAATAAATCAAATAAAGCAAAACATTTCTCATTTTTGAATAAAAGCATTTATCACACAGTGTTTATTCATTCATGGTCACAAGATTGATTTGGCTCCTAGAATCCTGCCATATATTGAAACACTTTGTTTTTGTTTTTCCAGTAGGCAAATTGCGGAAGCGCTGGATGAAGGAGAGCATCTCTGATGTTGGCCTGGGAATGCTGAGATCTGTTAAAGAATATGTGGACCCCAATAACATCTTTGGAAACAAAAATCTTTTATAAAGCCCTGTGCAACATGATGTACTAAAACTTCAAAATTACTGTTGAAATTCCTCCACTTTCATTGTATTGATATCCCAGTAATCAAATATAACATAGACTAAACTTTAAAAACTAGTAACTTACACATTGATTTTTGCCACTCCCTTCCCCCCTCCCCCCAATAAAGTGTAAACATCACTGTTAATGTTTATGGATTTTTACTTACAATGCTCCTAAACTCTTAAACAACCCACTGGGCATAAAGTGTATTACCAGCCAGGAAATGCAAATTTGGTTTTCCAAGTTTGGTTAGGCAACACAGCTGACAGTATTTTTCAATGCTGGATACTGCCAGATGTTTCTTACTAAAGCATCCCCTGCGAGGAGAACAAAGACTGACAACAGTTTTCTACAGAAGCAGCTGCTCGACCCAGCCTCTTGCTAATGGAAAGCTGCTATGAGACAGATGAGAGAACACCAAGAACACCATTAAGTATGTAACAGACTTGTAACCAGCAAATACTTGAAGTATAAATGTAGGCTTTGATCAAAAGAGAATGTAAGTCAAACTACTAAAAACTCTCTAGTATCCCACTGTAGTACTATTAGAAGATCTTATGTAATTGAGCTGTTCCAAGTTGTATTTGCATTGCTGGGATAATCTTAAATTAATTGTAGGTCAGTCACTATAAGTTTTGTACAATGGACATTTCTCACTGTATGTTGAAAACAGGTTTGTAACAAAACTTTGCGTTTATCTGTACTTCAGTCCTAGTGTGTATGGTTTTTGCTCCTGTTTTCTTTGTTTTGCAGAGATGCAAAACATCTTTTTCAGTAAAAAAAAAAATGTTTTGGCTATTCAAATGAAACTGCCCAGCACTGTCTTTTGAAACAGTCTCAACAGTTTAATAAAGTGTTTAAATGGACAACATAACTGTCATCCTGAAAGCGAGATTTCCCATTTTAGTTTTGTACAGTTTCCTATGGCCTCTGTGAATCATTTATTGACTTCACTAGTAGCCACAATTTTAATTGTCCCTTGAACTTTAAGAAAATGAAATATTTTCTTGATCGGTATCATATGAGTAAGAGTTTTTACATTGAAACTTGAATCTTAATCAGTAAAACAAAGTATTTGTCAATATTCATGATCCATTTTTAAGGTGGGTTCTTTTCTTAAAGCAAGTTATCCAACTTTTTGATAGTTAATGTGTATGATTGCATAGGATAGAAAAAAAAAAAAGACTATCCTTTGAGGACACTGTCTCTAGCCAACTGCTTCACAGCTCTAGTATCAGTTTGGACACCTTTTGTATTGGTAGTTCCCTTACTGAGGAGAAAAAGATAAAATTGCTTTTTTGTTTTTAAACTTTTAGAATACAGTCTAATGAGCTCTGTTTTGGTAATATACCAAAAGTACCAAATGCTTGGAGAAATACTGCATATCAGACAACTTAATCTTGAAACAAGTTCAGATTTCAACTCTAAAATGGTCAAAAAAACATGGACACTCAAAGCATCACTTTAAAATGCATGCTGTCAAAGTAGTCAAGGAAAACTTTCTATCATCTTCAGGTTATAAAACAGAATGTTAATGTGATACTTACAATGCAGCTATATTTACTTTGGTTGTTGTTTCACATAAAATTTCAACTAATTGACTAATTTCATCTAATTAGTCAATTTCAACTAATCTACTATTTTGGGTTTTGGCCCCCAGAGTTCATATTTTAGCAGCAACCAAAACAATAGGTATAGTGTGTCTTTGCACTGTGGTTAAGTGTTCCTTAAGTACACAATGGTGTCTCGGCAAAGTGAATGTGTACGTGTTTATGCAAGGGACTTCCTCATCTCACGTGCTGCATGATGGTGACTACATGGCTACAGGTGGCATCTTGCTGATGACTTGTATAGAGACCTTTCTAGGAGCTGGTAATTATTCAGGGTTCAATAAAAGTATATGTCTAACTATATGAAGAATCTATTTTGAAGAAAAGTACATGAAGTTGTTTGCAGAATGACAGCACAAACAGAACTAAAACAAGTAGTCATAGTCAGTAATACCTGTCTCAAGATTTTGACTTACAGCACAGCTCTATGACATCCTTCTCGATTCATAATTTTCTGATTATAGTTTCCTCATGCCTTTTTTGTACTGAAATTACAGAGGCAAAAACTCCTTATGCTCTATTTCTAACCTTTAAATAGCTACTGGCTTCTGAAGTGATTTAAAATGCAGTAAAGATTTTTACTGCATGTCCATTGTCCTATGGGAAGGTGAAATAACAGGCTATAAGGGTCCCAAAGCAATGTCACTGGATAGCTCTGAGGAAAAGATTAACTACAAATGTAATGGATATTTTTTCTAATGGCCACCCTATTGCTGTCTTCCTAAATACTTTTCTGTCTTAGAAACTGCAGTTGAAAAGCATGTATTACTGTCTTTAATTTCGCATTTAACTTTCTAATGAAAATAAAGCATAATGCAAGTTCAGACCTAGATACATACAGATCGTTATCTATTCAAAAGAAATCTTCCCTTCTCTGATACTAAAGTCTTCCACCACTCTTCCTTCTGTATTATTCCTTTCTAAAGACCTCACTTCCCATAGCTGCAGCCTGTTCAGAATGGAGTTTGGTCCATGCACATCAGAAGCGTATCTTGGCATAACACATTACTTTTTGATTTGCGTGACTGTTTTGGCCATATGTAAGTTACAAGCAGTTTTAATTAAGTTTGTCATGACTTCCAATTACACAGCTTCCGCTCTCTTTGAAGGAAGAAAGGTGCAGACTGAGTATGGCTTGACTGCAAAATGTATTTACATTAGAGAGACTGCTATAAAAGTTTTGAGGGGAAGGAAGAAAATCTGTTAGAAATTGATCCAGGGTTTAAATCGTACAGTCAGAGAAAACGTGTCTCTTCTTGACATGGCTTAGAGTATATTGGTTGAGTTAGAGACATCTCTTTTGCCTTACAGCTGTGAGTAGAGGCCAGGCCAAATAGTTCTTCCACAGCAATGTTAATTAATTGAAACCAATTTGAAAGGCAGGGATACATTAGCACTGAAATCCAGAAAACATAAATTGCTTCTCAGTCTTGGAAATGTATGTTTATCGAGGTTGTAATTTAACTTTCTGCAAATAAAGCCAAACAGTGTTTGTCATTTTAGTGTGAGATTAACTGTAAACTTCAGTTGTAATGTTAAGAGATTATAGAACCTTATATTATTAATAAAAAGAAAATGGGCCTAAACAATGATGTGGTTTTGTGCTGAAACTAAACAAATATATTCTACTACCTTGTCATCTTTGGTTCATTTTAATTTGGTGGTGAGCTTTTACCCAAGGAAAACTATTAGGAAGGCTTTGGCACTTACAGAGAGAAATGAAATGGAACTTGTAAATGAATGCTAACAGAGGCTCAGCTTTTGTGTGCCCTGTAAAGCCAAATAGGAGAATGAGAGCAGTGCAGTAGGGGAATGGCAAAACAACAGCTGAACATCAGTCTGCTCAGTTCAGAAGTTTCACCTCCTCAGTATTCCCTGTTTGGGCAGCAAGGGGACCATGTTCAACTGCTCTTAGAAAGTTCTGTCAATGTAATACAGGAGCATACCTTGTCTTACTTAGCTTCACCGGATTTCAAAGACCTGTTGTATTAAGCTATTGCAACAGGTATAGAGCTTCCTGATCTTGTGTACATGTCTCATTTAAAACCTCCTTGTAAGAGGTTGTGGAATCAGACTGAAAGTTCTGCATGCACAAATGCACCACGTGTGAGCAGAAGAGGTATTTGTTATCTGCATCACTGCTATAAAGCTTATGCTCTTTAAGCTAAAATAGCTGAAATCACATGTTGCTTGAAAGAGATGTTGAATTGTCTTAATGCAGTTACTTCAGCTCGTATTATTCAAAAACTGCAAAAGTCACAGCAGGGGACAGGAGAACTAATGACGTAGTTCAATCTGTAGAACTATAACAATTTCTCAATATGATCCAAACTTTTTTGTGTGCTTGTTCACAGTAAGGAGAAAACTGACAGTCGAGCATTTTATTTGTGTTTCCCTTCTATTAACAGCATAAAAATGCAGTATTTTTACATAGATCTAGATAGTCTCAGTTTGAAGGAGATCTTAGAGGGTGATATACTTGTCTCAGGATGACAGCCAGATCCCATCAGTGTTCCCTTTGTTGAAAATAAGTGAGTTTTATAAAAAGTTGGACCTGAACTTGCAGCTGTGTAAATACTATAGGTTCACTGTTTATGGCTTTGTAGTCCCAACACTGACTCTGAATTCCACATCACCTTTAACATAAATCGATGTCTTTCCCTAGGCTTTTTATGGAGACCAGAATTGGCAGGCGATTGCTTTGTTCGTGTTCAGCTTTGAGGTCTGCTGTGTGCTCAAGAGCAGAGGTGGTCAAAGGTATTTTTAAAAAATGTTCACCATACTGTCTTTGAAAAATACTAGTGCTGTCAGTTTGAAATTCAAGATTCAGTTTCAAAAACGTGGATTATAATATTTTAAATCATATGGTTACTTGCAATTTTTACCGATATAAGTTGCAATAATATGTGCCTCTACTGAAATGCTGTGAAATGTTTCATTTATGAATTTGTTTTTGCATTTTGGAAAAACAACGAATTGAATTTTTTATGGGAAACTTTATGAATGTTTCAATTTGTTTCAGAATAAAGCTGAATTTGTTTTGATTGACTGTTCAGAAATTCCAGTATAACATTCGTATTTGAGTAGCATTCAATGTATTTTTCTACCTTCACACTAGTATGTAGTAGTTGTCGTGTCCCCCTCCACACGTATGGGGACATAACAGCTTTTAAATTGATGTATTTTTTTGTAGTGCTGTAAAGTATCATAGCAGCCTTCTAAAGGATAAAACAGAAGTGTTGATCACAGCAAAGAAATTGTGTGTATGCAAAAGGATACAGGACAAAACCGGATTATGACTGTAACCATATAAAGTTTAAGCTGATGCTTCTAGAACTTCGTATCAGAAAGTAAGTGAAAAATGGTTTTGTTTAAAAATTACATTTAAAAATTAAACTATATTTTCTAATGATGAATGATTGTCACAACTTTTGCAGTTCAGTATCATGTGGCTTGTTCTAGTGTGGCTGACCTCCCAAGATGCTTTTACAAAGCAAAATATAAAGTGGATGGTCTCAAGACAGGCCTTGAATAAATCTACTCCCATTTCAGGCTGATGGCAGGGCTTGGCTCTGTTCCCATGAGTGACACGGACACTCTGAGCATGTGGATATCTGGTGTTGCATCCGTCAGTGCTAGCTCAGCAACTTAATATTCAAAGCAGTTTGAAGACAATGAATGGCATTGATGTAATGTACTCCAATGAAGTTCAGCAAATATGGAAAACATAAAAGGGTGGTTTGATAAGTTCAGTTATTCCTAAATTGGCTATCGATAGTGGCATTGATAAATGCAGTCTTGACTAGACACAAGCCTGAGGATGTGGGAGTAATGAGAAGGTACAAACACAGGCGCTGACCTTTCTCCCTCCCAGCCCCTGGCAGCAGCCAGCAGCGTTTCCTGTCTCGCTCTGTTCCTGCTGCCGCAGAGCAGGAAATCCTGGCTGCCCAGAGGCGAGGGTTAAAAGCCCTTCTGAAACATGAAGTGACACACATGCTCACCTAGCAAATACATAGCAGCTGCGTAAATACATGCAGAGATGAGGCCATAAAAGCTGGTCATTAAGGAAAGTAAATCTGGCTAATGTTAGAAAGCAAATGTAAGGAAGATGTGGGTGAGCTGAATGCTGCATGAAAAGCTCAGGTTTAGAATGACACTTGTTGACAATACTTGAGTATGATACTGACCACACCATGGGCTTTGAGCATATAGTCCCAGGTATATTTGGAGTTTTGTCCTTGACTTGCTTAGGACAGAACTCTGGGTTTAGCCTAATTTGCTAGGAACACAAAGAAAATGCAATCTCTCTGCTGCTTGGTTTGCTCTTCATTCTTCTCCCATTGTCCCCACCAAAGCTTTTGAGCTTTGTGGACAGCTTCAGCCAAACTCAAGTAAGACAGAAGTCTCAATGTATTAAATTCTTGCATGTTTTCGTGGAAAATACCAACCCTAATTTAGGCTGTCAGGAAAGATAAAATCTGAAATGTCAGCTCAACCATTGTTAATACCAGAGAATCCGTGTGGTAAAAGCCCAAATGTTAGCTGGAGTACATCCACTTCAAATGGTCAGTGTGCTCTGCCTTGTGGTTCTTCTTGGAGCGTTAAAATACTTTGATGAGTGGGTCAGCCACAAGGCAAACTGTCCTTTTTAGTACTGCTGCTTCTGGAAGTACAGGGCAGCACTGTTCTTCCAGTCAGGTTTTGGGTTGGTTTTTTTTTTTCAGTTAAGATTTTTTTAATAAAAGAAGGGTTTGTCTTTCTCTGTTCATGCTTGTAACTGTGTTATGGCCAAGCTCTCAGTTGTGCTCCGCTTTTCTAGTGCAAGAACATGGAGAACAGAAGTTGCCGTCTTCTGTGAGATGGTATTGGAGCACAGTTTATACACGCAGAAGTGCCTCAAATGGGTTGTCGTTGGTAGACTTCTCTAGGTGAGATCGCTTTAAAACATACCATTAAAAACAGTCAGCAGGGAATGAGAACAAGCTGTGGAAAGGGGTTGAGGAGAGAGAAGGGGAAAGAGAAAAGATGATGGAAGAAGGCAGCAGTAAGTTGGGACTGTATGTGTGTTAACAAAGTCCTGACCATCAGTGAAGAGTTGCTCTAGCTTTACAAGCACGGGGTCCTTCCATGTTGTTACCCAGTATGTAGTTGAGGAAGCAGGGTTTACTGTTTTAGGTGGAGGAGATGAGTGACTGCTGCCCAGGAGAAAGGCTTTCGCAAAGGCTTTTACTCCTGTGCAGTGTGAAGGTTAGCATCACAACCTGGAACACGGAGGATGTCCATCTGCAAAGCTTCAGCAGGCACCACAGCCCATCAGCATGCTTAATAAAAACTTCTTTGTACAACTTCACCTGTCTCTTGCCTGACTTATTGCTAATGAAATAGTGACCAGGAACCAAGAGAATTGCTAACGGGGAAAACAGAGCAAGGGCAGTGCAAGACAGTGTCTTGTGTGTATGGCTAAATTACACTGAAATGAACATCTGGCAGCAACAGCCAGGCAGAAGGGACCTGGTTGCTATAGAGAAATGATAAATTTAGGATGGTAACAAATGTGCTGCCTTGGTTACAATTTAGTACATTTTTAAGGCTGATGAGAGGAAATCACTGTCTCTTAATTTGTAGAGCTGTGTGCCGCGCTGTGGACATGAATAAAACATAACTTTATTTCCTGTTCTTTTCAGTAGCTCATGTAAGACTCCCCTACATATCTGGCCTTGAGTAGTCAGTGTTCAGGTGTTTACAGCTAAGCATCTGTGGGCTGGCTTACTCAGCCATGCTACAGTGCTTTGGGTCCTTCCACCCAATCTTTATCACAGAATGATTTACATTGCTAAAACCAGAATTATCCTTGTGACTATTGCAGAAAGGATAGGCTGATTCTTATTTGCTCCTTTGAAAAAATGGTTCAAGAGCGAAAGTGTTGCTTTAGTTTTCTTTTGTTTGTTTTAAAACCACATGCTGATATGCTTCAGCTGCAGACCAGTCAGCACACAGCAAAGTTAAAACAGCTGTGAGCGGAGGGGTAGGGAACCTTGTGATGAATGATAAATTTGTAACAAGTTACACAATTGCAGAGACACTATAGTAATCAGCAACACCTTCAGGAGCCAGAGCACAAGTACTTACCACCGAAGTTAATGCAAATTCCCCGTAACAGTGAGCTGAGCAGGTTTATAAACACAGGGACTACTGTCTAGCAGTAATTGTGCTTGCAGCCGCTAGCCAGCGCGTGCGGAGCTGTGTGTTTGGTGCTGATGCTTAGCATCTGGAATTGTAACGGGGATGTTCCCCTTCTACTGTGAGTCTGAAGGATGGGATTTGCTCATTGCTTACAAATAAGCCCTTCAGAAACAAAATGGTTGTGTGTGCTGACACATCCATTTTGTGCAGTTGTATTAGTTGCCTGTGATAACCATTCTGCAAATCATGTGCTGCCCTTGTTTATAAATAAGCAGCCAGCCCTTGTGCATCCAACCTGACTTTGCTAAGGGATCCAGTTTTTGTATGTTGAATGAGCTTGAGGTTAGCAACTGCTTAGCTGCAGAGCAAGGACAGTAATTGTTATTTGGTTTTGCACTCTGAA